TGCCAGAGGGATGTCTGATTGCCATCTTAGGCCCAATCCCCCAGGGAGCAGGCCTAAGCCAGCAAGTGGTCACCCCAGAGGGGTCCCAGGCTGCGAGAGGGCACAGGCCGGGCTGAGGGACCCCCTACCCCGGAGTGCACAAATTTTTGTGCACCGGGCCTCTAGTGTTTAATAAGGGAATGAAAGAATCAGTGGCTCTGAGGACAGGTGGCGGGTTAGGTGACTGAGTCTGATTTCAAGGGTGAAAAAGAGACAAAAAGAATGTTTTAGCCCAGAAACATGGGTCTGAGGAGACGGACTCCGATGAAGGAAGGATGGGGGTCCCCATTAAATCTCCTGGACAATATGCCCGTATGGTGGACCAGTAAACCCAACTTCCCCTCCATGTGGGTCCCACACAAGCCTGCTCTCCTTCCCAAGTCCTCCAGACTTCATTAACTCAGCAGACGCCACCATCAGCACTGGCCCGGGGGTGCACTCGGTGCTGGGGTTGCACTCGGTGCTGGGACCTGGGACGCGGTGACGGGTAAAAGCAGAGCTGTCTGTGTCCTCGTGCTGCTATGGCCTAGGATGGAAACTGGGAGGGAAAGTAGCATCCTACCAGATGTGATGGGGTCCCTGGGCTCCTCAGGGTGCGGCTTCACAGAGCAGCTCACCTTGCAGAGCTCTCGGGTGCCTTGCCAGGGTTGTGGCAGTTCAGGCAATGCAGGAGGGGTGGTGGTGTCACTGGCTGAGGGCTCCTCAAAGCCAGGCCCCTTGGTGCTCACCTCGATTCATTTCTCCCCACGTGGCATCTCTTTTTAGAGGCCGGGGTTCGAGGTTGGGCAGCCAAACTGCAGGCGCTGGCTGGGCCTTCAGCACCTTGGACAGTGGAGCCTCCGGAAGGCATGCCCTTTAACAGGGAGCCGCTCTTGGTGCCAGGCTGGGCTGCAGTGGGGTCGGAGCGCCAGTACCAGCCGCCTGCCCAGCCTGAAGCCTCCCCGCCCTCACTAACTCCTCCACCACCTTCAGCGCACCGTGGGCAAGCGCCCTCCCCTCCAAGAGCCCCTTCCCCACCTGCACTGCACCCCGGGGAGCACGGGCACCGGCATTCTTGGTTTCCAAGGGCCTCCCCACGGAATGAGCCCATTGCAGGTGTGATCTCACTCAGTTCAGCGGAGCTCAGGGCTGACCCCGGATCTTGGTGCCTTGGAGAGAGTCAAGTCAGTGCTTTTCCCGGTAAGACTGGAAGAGACGGATGCGAAATATGGTCACGTTCTGATATTTGGATTAAAAAGGGAAGAGAACTCGCATCGGAGAGCCTGCCACGTGCCAAGGACCCTGCGAGGGCGGGGAGTTTCCAGGGGGTTTGAAACACAGTCCTTGCCACCAGCCCTCTGAGTGGGGCCCTGGGCAAATCGCCTCCCACCCGGGGGCCGGGTCCCATCTGTGACGAGAGGCAGCTGCACCAGCACTTCCCATGGTTCTGGCGTCTTATGTTCACATCGACCCGAGATCGGATCATGGCCGGTTCCTCTGCAGGGGGCCTCCGGCTGCTTTCTAGTTCGCATCCACGTGCGCTCTCAGAGCGGTGCCGTTACGTGTCAGAAGTCACGCAGCTCAACGCAAAGGTCACGCAGCCTGTAAGCGGGGGAGCTTGGGTTTGAACCGCTGACTGTCAGACCCCTTCCCCAAGGAGGAGAGGCTGAGCAGAGAGCCTCTCACGGTGAACAGACCCAGGCTGGGAAGGGCAGGTGAAGCCCCTCCATCCCACCTCCCCCCGCCCCCCGACCCGCCTCCGCCTGGTCAGGGCCACTCCATCCCCCTCCTGCACGGTTTCTTTGTTGTAAAGCCGGCTCAGGACTCGCTCCGTGCCTGGCCAGGTGTGTGTGTGTTTGGGGGGGGAGGGGGTGGTGAGGGCCCCAGGAGGGAGCTGCCTCGTCTCTGCCTGCATCGAACCCCCAGGTGAGTTGGGGAAACACCACAACACAGTGACAAGCTCAGGGGGCGAGGGATCCGCAGTGTGGGGGGGACACAGGGAGGGGCGTTTCAAAGAGCAGTGGGGCCTGGACCGCAGAGGCAGCCGGGAGATCACCCAGCGGAGAGGCCAGGGCGTGCGGAGCCACAGACGGACGCGCGGGGCAGGGCGCAGGCGGGAAACGGGCGGACACGGCCTCCTGGGTGGAGTCTGGCCTCAGAACTCGGCTTGGCCCACAGACGGTTTAAATTTTTTGAAATCTTAGTTGTGATCATTTTCATCTGAGACTTTATTATGAAAGTCGTTCAGTTTGTTGGAAGGCGAGAGCTCGCAGTCCCCGCAGACCTCTGCCCGGAGCTGAGGAATGGCCGCTCCGGCCTCTGCCCGCTCACGGCATCGCCTGGCGGGCGGCATTTTGACGTAGGATTCCTCAATCTGCGGTGCAAGGGCTGTTTTGTTTTGTTTTGCTTTGTTTTTTGGCTGGTGACTGGCCCCAAAGTGCCAGGCCTGTGAGGAGGGAGTGAGGGGAGTGCTGGTGGGCAGTGGGGCTCTCGGGGCTGCTGAGACAGAAGGCCCAGCCCCCAGCACGTGGCTCTGAGCCCCAAGTCTTGCTGGGAGGCTGGAAGGGGAGGAGGGCCCGGTCCTTAGGGACTTGGCCTCTGGATCCAGGGGACAAGAAGCTTGATTTTAACTCAAGGAAGGACAGGGATCATGGCCTTTCTTTACTTTTTAAAATTTAATTTAATTTTTAGAGAGAGTGGGAGGGAGGGGGAGAGAGATAGAGCAACATCGATGTGAGAGACACATCAATTCGTTGCCTCCTGCACATGCCCAGCCTGGGGCCAAAGATGAACCTGCAACCCAGGTACGTGCCCTTGCCCGGGGATCGAACCTGTGACCCTTCAGTGGGGGCGGGAGACGCTCTAACCACTGAGCCACCGGCCAGGGTTGATGATTTTATTTCACTTATTGTTGACCTTTTCTCTGTTCCAAGGAACCCTCCAGGGTTATGCCTGTTAGCAACGTGAGAACAACTACGATCGCTTTTAAACACTCATTTAGATAAATAAGCAAACCTTCCTTTGCACCAAATATTTGCTTTTAGATTTTTTTTAAAAAAAATCTCAAATTCGTATACCTTGGCCGCAAGCGCGTCCAGAGAACACAACTGTCCCGGTGACGGGGCCAGAACAAGTGTTCTTCCTGAGGCCGAGCGCTCCCAGCACGTTTGCCAAGTGTTTCCCACCCTTAGCGTGGCATGAGCAGGGCACCAAACAGCACCAAAGAATATTAAAAACAGAAAGAAAGCGAGAGGGGGACCCGCCGCGTCCTTGGCACGGCATCGGCCTTCCCGCCTGTCCCTTCAGCCTCTGTCCCAGGGAAACCTCCCTTCCTCAGAGCTGCTTTGGGCGGAGGAGGGGTGAGCGGCCCGTCCCTGGAGGTGTGCAGGCAGGGCCGGCTTCCGCAGGGATGCCCACGTCCAGGGGTTTGCTGTCAGGGCTCCGACTGACCTGAGGGATGACAAGAAGGTCTGCGTACCCCTCAGCGCAGGAAAAAACACGGAACGAATGTCTTTAACGTGAAAGTCTGCGGTCAGGAGATTTACCCACCCCAGCTCCACGCCAGCTGGGACCCTACCTGAGGCGGCCGCGTGTCTGCTGAGTCTGTTTCCTCGTCTGTGCAATGGTGGGGCTGCCTCCCAGGCGTGGGTGTCCCACAGGGCGCCTCCTTCTTCACCCCCGTCCACCCGGGAGCAGCCTCCCTGGGCTGAGCATAGCTCTCCTGGGCACCTGGCTAAGGAGAGCCACTCGGCGGGGGGCGGGGGGGGTGTTGGAGCTGGAGGAGACCCCGCGGGCTGGGAGAGGGTGCTGCGGGCTGGGAGAGGGTGCTGCGGGCTCCCGCAGGGGGGCAGGCGTGAGCTGGTCCTTGAGGGTTTGGGTCACGGCAGGTACAGGACATGGTAGGCCTTTAGCCACAGTGCAGAGAGGGAGAGGGTCTGGCCTGTTAGAGAGACGCCAGGAAGGCACTTGCACGGAGCGAGCTCCTGAGGCTCAGGGAAGACAGGCTGCGCCTGTGTCCGTCAGCTCCCCGCCCTCCTGCTGAGGGGCGAGCCCCGCCCGGTACCCTGGCCCAGAGCTGCTCAGAGTCAGCTGGGCCCGGGTGCCACTCGTCCTCACCCTCCCAAGCTCCCCGGCACACGCGGGACACAGGGCAGCTCAGTCAAGTGGGCGGGTGGGTAGGGAGAGGTGGTTGTGGCTGGGATGGGTGGTGGGTAAATGGTGGGCAGGGGAGCGATTGGTGGGTCTGAGGGTGGGTGAAAGGAAAGCAGAGATGGAGAGTGGGTGGGGGACGGCCTGGTGCAGGGGAGGGTGAATGTGCGGGCAGGGGGTGTGAGGGCTGCTGGTGGGTGGGCTGTTGGTGGGTATGTTGGTGAGTTGGGGGCAGGAGGATGGGGTTTGGGGACTTGGTGGGTTAGCGGGTGTGTCAGCAGATTGGGAGTAGGCGAGCTGGAGGGTGGATGGGCGGGTGAACGTGTGGTTGTTTGGGGCTGTGGGTAGAGGTGTATGTGGGAAGCAGGGCGGGTGGGTGTGTCATCGGGGTGGGTGTGTCATCGGGGTGGGTGTGTCATCGGGGTGGGTGTGTAATCGGGGTGGTGGTGTGTGGTGTGTTGGTGGGCGGAGGTGCTGAGTGGGTTTCAGGGCTGTGGGTGAGTGTGGGTGGGAGGAGTGTGTGAGTGGGATGGTGGATACATTGGTGGCTGTGGTACTGGCAGGTGTATGTCTATGTGTTGGTGGACTGGTGTGTGGATGGTGGGTAGGGGCGTGGAGAGGTGGGTATGCAGGTGGGTGGAGGGTGAGCTGGTGAGTGGGACAGTGGGTGGGAGCTGCCTGTGGGCGGACAGCCGGGTTGGGGAGTGTTGGAGGGGAGGTGGGAGGCCAGTGGGTGTGTGGGTGGGTGGGTGGTGAGCTGGTGGGCAGTGGGCAGGAGGGGCACAGGGGGAGGAAGCACTGTTGGCCTGACCCCCCCTCCCCCCATCTCTCAGCAGGACACCAGCCACACCTGGGCGATTCCTGGCCGCGGAGCTCTGCACACGAGGCCGGGGAGCTGAGCCGCCAGTGCTGGGTCCTGGGGCACTGGGTGTGACCGAGACCAGCCGGCCCCAGACCCCGCCTCCGTCAGCACCAGCTCTGCCACCAGGCCGCGCGTCTGGCGCCACCGAAACCTGGCCTGTGCGCTCTGAACCCAGCCAGCCTGCACGGGAGACACCGGCCGGCCCTGCCCATCACTGCCCGGGTCTCAGGCCCGAGCAGAGGGGCCTGCGGGCCTGTGGAGTACACAGGGCTGCACAGAGCAACTTCGGGACAGCAACTTCGCACTCTTGCCACATGCACAGCCCTGCTGGGTACAGCTGGGAGGCCAGGAAAAACCGGACATCGGCCATTGGAAGCCTGGGGTCCCCCGAGCCAGCTAGGAAGTTCAGGAGGTGTCCAGTGGCACATAACCTTTCAGGGGGCAGGGCATGGCACTGCAGGGGGCACACAGCAGGCACACAGCAGGGGCTGAATAAATGCTTGTTGAACCTGTTTTCTTGCTGTGTGTGGAGGCCAGTTGCTCTCCGGGCTGCCCCTTCATGGCTCCATCCTCTCAGCTCCCCGAGGAGCCTGAGGTGGGCAGCCTGAGTGTGCTGCAGCCAGGGTCCGACACGGGGTGGGAGTGAGGGAGCCTAGAGCCTCGCTGGGTCTGGGGGTCGGGTCAGGCTGCAGGCGGCCTTGGATTCCAGAGGGTGGGTAGGGTGGGGGCGTCAGGCAGATGGGAAATGTGGGATGGGCCAGGGAAAGGGCCTCACACCCAGATCCTCAGCATCTCTGACCCCCATGGGGACTCTCCCTTATGTTTAGAGCCACCTTTACATCAGTTCCAGGGCTTAGATGCCTGGGGAAACAGATGTTTACCATAAAGACAGGAGGCCTTAGGGTCACAGAGATGAAGACACTAGACCCAAGATCACAAAGCTAGCAAATGGCAGAGTTGGGGCTTGAACCAGGACTCCTGACTCCAAGAGACCTCGTCCCTTCCCTGAGGATTTCTAGAACTTTCTACCAAGCAGACAATGCTCTTCTTCACTTGTCCATAAACTCATCACCCATTTAATCATTCATCCATCCATTTACCCATCACCCATCCATCACCCATCCATCATCCATCCATCTATCCATCATTTATCTATCCATCATCCATCATCCATCCATCCATCATCCATGCATATATCCATCATTTATCCATCCATCATCCATCCATCCATCTATCCATCCATCCATCTATCCATCATCCACCCATCCATCACTTATCCGTCCATCATCCATCATCCATCCATTATCCATCACCCATCCATCCATCCATCCATTATCCATCCATCATCCATCATCCATCCATTATCCATCACCCATCCATCCATCCATCATTTATCCATCCATCATCCATCATCCATTCATCACTCATTATCCATCCATCATCCATTCATCATCCATTATCCATTGTCCATCATCCATCCATTTACCCATCACCCATTCACCATCCATCATCTTCCATCCATCATCTATCATCCATCATCTATCATCCATCATCCATCTATCTATCAGTTGTCATAGTTCCCTGCATCAGACATCCATACATCATTCTTTCATACATCACCCATCCTCATTACTCAACCAACCATCCATATATTCATCTGTCCAGTGATATAATCCATTGTTCCCCTATTAGGGGCCAAGTACTGTGGTAGGCACTTGAGGTAGGATAGAGAACCATCCAGAGAGGGTGTCTGTCTTCGCAGAACTCACAGATGGGCAGGACAGATAACTAACAGACGATTATAGTTCAGTGTGTGAAGTGCTGTGGTGCCCAGCTCTGGGCCAGGCAGCGTGGGTTCAGACTCCAGCCCCTTCACTTGAGACCTTGGGCAACTGGCCTGACTTCTCTTGTGCCTCATCCCCGTGGGCACATAGCTGATCCTTACAACTACCTCTTCAAGCTGTCCCGGGGGTTAAATGAGCTGATGGCCGTGAAGCGGTTAGGACGGAGCCGGCACAGTGCAAGTGCATTGTTGGTGTCTGCTCCCACCGCCATGGGGGGGGCGGGGGGGAGCCCAGGGCAGCACCTGCTGGGCTGGGGGTAGTGGCGAGAAGAGGCGCCTCTGGGACAATGACACTTAAGCTAAAGCATAAAGTTGTCAGGTGTCAGGTAGACACGAGTGTAGAGGGCAGACCGTCGGGAACGTTGTAGGAACTAAGTGGCAGGTGTGGCGAGAAAGGAGGGCAGCGAGGTGGTGAGGACGCAGGTGGTGGAGGCAGATGGGGCCAGGCCAGCGGGGCCGAAGCCCCTTGGGAAGCTTAGACTCTCCTGGCCGGCGGGAAGCACCCAACTGCGCTTCTGGGAAGGCCGTCGAAGCCGTGGACAGAGAACAGAAGGGGAGCCCCGGCGTCCTCCTCCCCTGACCACACTTGAGGGGACAGGACAGAGGGCAGGTTCAGGAGCTAGTGAGGAGGGGCAAGCAACAGGTTTGGGGGAGACTGAGGAAGGGAAAGTCTTGGGTGCCTGGGGCTCCCGGCCGAGGTTCTGCTCATTCATTCATTCATTCCTGCATTGATTAATCGAGTGAGTGCTTCATTAGCCCATCTTTCATTTGCTCAGCATATTGAACCTACTATGTGGGGCAAGAGATGGGTCTGGAGAGAGATGAGGCCCAATTACAAAGGCCTTGACTGTCAGGACAGGCGTCCAGGCTTTGGCCTCTGGGCAAAAGGAACCCAGTGGCTGCAGATTTGGGGCTGGGCGGCCGCCCCCCCCCCAGGAACTGGCCCGCCCCTGGTATCCGGAGCTCTGTGCTCCCCGAGGTCCTTCTGAACATGGCAAGTGGACCTCAGAGGTCCAGGACATGCTCTTAGGTGGCACATGGGTAAAATTTTAATCTATTTTAATAGTTGTGTTTATGTAAATGTGTCTTAGGAAAAAATGTGTAACGGGCACATCCGTGCCTGAGTTCACAGATATTACTGCTTAGGATGAAACCAAAATAGGCATTTGAGTAAACAGAAAGAGTCGGCTTAAAGAAAAATCTCATTAAATAAATAATTGTGCAAGTGTACGCGACTATGACATGCGGACGGCTCCCCCAAGGGCCACTGCGCCACCCTCGGGCTTCAAGTCCTTTTGTCGTTGCTGGGCACCCGCGGGCAGGGTGTGATAACCGGTCGTACAGAGCCTGCAGCAAGGAGGCCGCTGGTGAGATGGAAGGAAGCGCTTCCAGGCAGGCTGGCGAGTGGCCCCAGTGGGTCCCCACGGAGGGTGACTGGGGGCTCCTTCATGCAGGGAGCACGTGCCACTCCCGGACCTGGGAGGAGGGAGAAGCAGCTGGTTTGAAGGCGGGGACGCCTGGGTGAGCACGGAGAGCCTGCCTGGGGAAGCGAAGGCCCCTCCTCCAGCCCCTGCAGCTCCCCCGCTCAGTCCCGTGCCGTGGACGTGTTCTGGCCCCTGAGTGGCTGAATGGTGCTGGCTTTGTGTGCGCGTCTTTCGTCTTGACCCCCTTTGCGTTGGCCTGATCCACAGCCCAGAGTGGTTCTCATGTTCTGCTCTGGGGACTTGCACCCAGTGTCCCTGTGGTCACATGCCCTGGGCTTGAGCGCACACGCCAGCCTGGACACATCTGAGCGCAGGATGCCGCTCCGCGTGTACACGTGTGCTAACGTGTGTCCTTGGCACTCCTCACGCTGTGTGCCCGTTGGACCCATATGCTTGGGTGCACGTGTGTCTGCGCTGACCCGGTGCCTGAAATGGGGCTCTGCCCCCTCATTTGCCCACATCACACCGGTGTCCCCGGGCAGAGGGCTGATGAGCAGGCCCAGTCTCAGGCGGTACCCAACTATGTCCCTCCGCGGCTGGTGGCTGTGATGAGCAGTCATCCCGCCACCCCCACCGAAGCCAGCCGCCCGGCCTTCGGTAATGGAAACGTCAACTTGATTCATGGGCATTCGTCAGCGGCAGCCAGGCCCGAGGACAGGCATGCTGGGAGGCCCATCCCCTGGGAAGAGCCGCTGCTGCCGGAGGGCTGACCCCTTGCTTAGGAGGATGTGAGGGTGGAAAGAAGCATCTGGGGCTGCCAAGTTCATTCCGACAACAAAAACGTCACTTCAGACTGTGAGAAGCTGCGGAGGTGAACCAAGGAGAGGCCTGCCTTAGGCTGGAGGGGAGGGCAGGCCTCTCAGCGGAAGGGCCATGGCAGCAGGGACAGAGGATAAGGAAGGAGGCGGCAAGGGGTGTGGGCAGAGTCACAGCATGTGCAAAGGCCCTGGGGTTGAGGGCAATGCTGAGAGGCTCTTTGACAGGACAGGCTGCTTGGAGCTTGGGCCACGAGGTCTGCCGCTGAGGGGTCATCTGCAGTCAGGGTGTGGGGACCTTGTGGATCATAACAAGGAGTGTGGCCTCACCTAGGGCCACGGATCCATTGACAGGAGGGCTTTTGTTTGTTTGTTTGTTTCCAATCACAATATTATATTTTGAGCCAAAAATACTAAAAAAAATTTGAACTGTATTAACAGCATCTCAAAGAAAAGTGGAAGGCAACACAGCAGGAGCTCAGCATGGGGTCATAGCAACAGGGGTGCCAGGGGGTGTTAGGAGGTGGGCGTGATCAGCTCTGCAGCCGGGGGAGGGGAGCGGGGCAGAGGCAGGGTGGCCGGGGAGGGAGCGGCAGCAGGTCCCGGTGGAGAGCTGGGGCCCAGGGGTGCTGGCACTGGGGACGGGAGAAGCCGCACAGTGTGGCTGGGAGAGGAGAGGGGAGTAGGGGCCTGAGGGCGCTAGGCCTGTCTGGGCTCTGACGCTGTGCAGCGGGACACGGTGGGCCACACGGGCCTGTGGGAATCAGGAAGCGGTGACCTCGGGGGGGGGCGGGGGGTGAACCAAAGAAGCTCCTGCCCCCAAACCACAGGAGGTGCGGCCCAGGGCACGGCTCGAGGGCTGCGGTTCCGCTCCATCGCCCCTTCGCCTGACTGCGGGCAAACCGCACGGCTGCTCCCGTGGACGGACGGCCTGTGTCTGGGGACAAACAGCCGCGGGGAGCATCAGTCGGAGGAAAACTGCCGGGGTCCAACCCCAGCAGGTCCAGGGGTCCCCAAAGGTGTGGACAGAGTTGGCGAAGAAGGAATGACACGGAGATAGCGTTCAGTTGATCAGCAGCCTCGCCAGGATCTCTAGCCAGGATCTCCAGCCAAGTTCTGGTCTGGATCTCCAGCGAAGTTCTGGTTAGGATCTCCAGCCAGGTTCTGTGTCCATCTTCTCTTGCCAGGTTCTCCAGCCAGGTTCTGTCCAGGTTCTCCAGCCAGGTTCAGTCACCAGGTTCTAGTCAGGTTCTCTTGCCAATTTCTGTAGTCAGGTTCAGTCCAGGATCTTTTGCCATGTTCTCTCCAGCGAAGTTCTTCTGTCTCTAGAGAATGTTCTGTGTAGGTTCTGTGCCTAGGTTCCGTCTCTCTTGGTTCCGTATTCTAAGTTCTGTCTCTTGCTGTCTTATTACATCTGTATTTATACCAGTTGATTCAATCCTATCAATCTCTATTACAAAGGTTAGGGCGTTTCTTATCTCCATTCCAGGGAGTAAAGATTATGTAGCTTAAGCACGATTGTTCATAGTTAAAGTGATTAATTACCCACCTGGCACTAGTTAAGAGGTTTTATTCCCTCCCTAACTTCAGGGGAAAATCCCTACCTGGGAAAACAACCTTTCTCAGAGACCTTGGTTAAAACACATAGTGCCAAGAAGGTGAGCCAACATATTAAGAACAGTATGCTATATATGCCAGGTCCCTTGAAACAGCAAGCATGGACCGGCTCCCGGCAAATTCCCCCTTTTTTATTTTTTAAAAGCAGCATTAAAAAGAAAAACCCGAAATGCTCTCTTGTATCCATTTTAAGAGTAGGATTGGCGCTTTCCACTATTACCTGAGTCTTGATCTATCACCCCAGGGAGAGCTTGCCAATCCTGCACTTTCCCGGGGTGGAAAGGCTGCAGTGGGGTTAAGGATAAGGCTCCTTGGGCCTACTTCCTCCCATGCCTTTACATTTACCTTTCCTTCCTCAGAAAAGCATGGACATACTTCTTGTATAAAACATTCTGTCTGACTGGGAGTAACCTTAATTCCTCTGCTAGCAAGCATATGTGTTAAAAGATCAATACAGAGTCTTATTTCTTTAGACTCAGTATGGCACATCTTCTTAATCTAAAGATCAATACAAAGTCTTCTTTCTTTGGACTCAGTATGGCACATCTTCTCAATCTAAGTTCTGTACTATCCACCTTCTTACCCTACTTATCCTCTATAGGGGGGTCTGTAGCACCCTGGTGGAGTCCTATCCATCCCGAGTGTGGAGGTTTTCAAGGGGGGGGCTTACCTAGGGGAATCCTTTCCAGGGGTTCCCAAAGGTGTGGACGGAGTCGGCGAAGACTATCCACCCTCTTCCTATGGTGGAGTCCTATCCATCCCGAGAGTGGGGCACTTACCTAGGGGTCCCTGTTCGGGCGCCATTTGCCGGGGTCCAGCCCCATCGGGTCCAGGGGTTCCCCGTAGGTGTGGACGGAGTCGGCGAAGAAGGAAGGACACGGAGACAGTGTTCAGTTGATCGGCAGCCTAGCCAGGATCTCTAGCCACGTTCTGGTCTGGATCTCCAGCGAAGTTCTGGTTAGGATCTCCAGCCAGGTTCTGTGTCCATCTTCTCTTGCTAGGTTCTCCAGCCAGGTTCTGTCCAGGTTCTCCAGCCAGGTTCAGAAAACCAATCCTCGCGTGGGATTTCCTGCGTGGACAGACGGGAAAGCACAGCCGACCTCTGCCCTCCCCCACGCCCCACCCCTGCCACCCTGGCAGTGCCTCCCGGGCCACATTCCATCCTGGACTGACACTGCCGATCCTGGCCTTGGGGGAGGCTGGCGGCCAGAGGCCTGGCCAGGACTGGGGGCGGCAGGGCCAGCACCGCAGAGGTGGTGGGGGCTGGACTTGCTCCGGGCCGGCCAGCCGGGGCCACGGCCCCCTCACCGGCGTGCTGGGGGGAGGGCGCCTCTGAACGAGGCCCCCGTCCAGCACGATGTGCACCTTCAGCGGCGACGCCCGCAGAGCACCGCCCGGGAGGGGCTCAGTGTTTGGTGGCTTCATTCGTTTTGTTGTTATGATCACAAATATGGCTCCACAGGCTGTCCCCTCCGCAGGGGCTGGGAGCCTGGGAGTGGTGTCATCAATGCCACACGTGTCTAGCCATGCAGACAGCCCCACGGCTCACGGGGACACGTGGCCCATTGGGCACAGGCCCCACCTGCCTCCTCCAGACCCGACCTGGGCCTGTGGCCTGACTCGATGCCGGGCTTGGGTCCTTTGCATGCCCGGGTGGCTGGGGCCTGACTCCCAGGGGCACAGTCCTACCTACTCTGGGCCCCACAGTGTCACCTCATCCCCTCCTGCTCCCCATTCATCACCTGCCTCGGTCTTAGGGGTGCAGGCTCAGGTGCATGTGGGCTGTGAAGGCAGGGCCAGGGAGGGAAGCAGGCCAGTGTGAGAAGTCGGGGCTGGTGGGGACTGCGGTGGTCTGGGCTCGGGGATGTGGGACTCGAGCTGCCAGACCCTCCAGTTTCTCCAGAGACATGGGGGGGGGGGGGGGAACCGCACAGACCAGCACAGCCTGCGAAGGCGGAGCCACCAGCCTGTGGCCTGCCCTTCATCAGAGGCTGGTGGGGCCCAGCCTCAGAAAGGGACCATCCTGGCCCCAGGAGGGATGGAGGTGAGGCCTGGGGAGGGGTGTGGGCAGCTGCCACCTGTCGGGCTGCAGAAACGGCTTGGCGGGCTCTGGCTCCTCTGAGCTCGGGGAGCCAGTGCAGACACCGTCTGGACCAGACAGACAGAAGCAGGCCCTTCACACTGCTGGACAGAGAAAGCAGGCCCCCAGGGGACAGCGCCTGGGAGAGGGCCCTCTGGGAACCCATGCCTGCTCTTCCTTGACCTCTAGTCCGCGGTGGCTGGTTCATGCCCAGGAATCCCCGCTGGGCTCGCTGGCACCCAGGCCCGGCGGCTGCAGCTCTGGGCTAATTTACACGGTGCTCATGGCTGGGGCGGGATGCAGGTGCGGAGGGGGAGCTCGGCCTCCCACCAGGGTGAGGGTGGGCATGCCACCTCGAGCATGTGCAGGTCACCCCCTGACCCCACCTCTCTGGGGCTGGGGGCAGGGCGAGGGTCCAGGAATGACCTTCCTCCTCTCACCCCCTGGAGAGCCGAGGAGGGTGAGCCACAGGCGGGGCTGCGGCCTCCGGGGCCAGGGACGAGGGCAGGTGGGAGCTGGGTGGCAGGCGCTGCACAGGACTTGCCCCCAGTTTTTTGGGGCACTCGGTGTTGGTTTGCTGGGTTAAGTTGAGCCGACATTTAAAAGTCAGACCTCACACTAAAAAGAAATGAAACACCTGTGTTTCTGGCTTCTCTCAAAAACCTTGAAGGCCTGGCATTGCTGGGCCCTTGGTGTGCGCTGCCCTACGGACCAGGCCTCCCAGCCAGCTCTGCTCCCTGACGCCCGGGCCAAGGCACTGGCTGCGAGACTTACTGTGGCTGAGAAGTGGGCGCCTCACTCGCCTCCCTCCCCACAGGGAGCGTCTCCCGCCTACACAGCCCCGGAGGGAGGAAGGGGGCTCTCCCACGCCAGGTCTGGGCAGAGCAGGCCCCGCTGTCGCCCTAGGAGCTCAGAGGGACAGCGGGCAGGAGCGGCTGCAGAGCCCCTGCCATTGTCTGTCCATGGGGCGGGACGGACAGAGGGATTCCCCTCACCCTGGCACAGGGAGCGAGGCTTCCTGAGGGCCTCTTACCCTCGCCAGGTAATTGCTGGCGCCCACGCCACAGTGCAGACGCCCACCCCTCACCGGAGCCTTCTTCCCACTCAAGCGCTGCGCTACCCAATGCCAAGAGCTGCCACAGGCAGGGGAGGGGGCCGCGAAGCCAAGTGGGAGGCCGCGAAGCAGCTCTGGTGTGGGCTTCCAGCACCGCGCCGAGGTCGACTCTGCGCCAGAGGCCGGCTTCACCGCCGCCTCGCTCTCCCCTGGCTGTCTCGGGATTTGGGCCGGGACTATCGCCTCAAGGCTGTGCCTCTGCGCTTCAGGATCCTCATATAAAAGGAGGGCCCTGCAGTGCCCGCCAGGGAGCTGCTCCATGAGGTGGACGGTTAGAGCCAGGCACGGAACACCGCTCCCCACGCACGGGCTCCTAGCCCCACACATGCTTTTCTCACCCAGCGCCAGGCCCAGGGCCCCCGCTCGCAGGCGGGGAACGACGCTCAGAGAGGGACACGCCCGCGCCACGGGCCAGCCTCCGTGGACTCCGGCTCAGCTCCTGGAGGCAGCATGGGCCACCTCCGACCCCAAGCCCAGTGTGCCAACGTGTTCTTAATAACATCTCTTATTGATTTTGCAAGAGAAAAAAAAATAGAAATTTATTTTAGAGCTAATGCCTGTCACAGCGGTTCTTTCCTCCGAAATTGCATGGTGCACACAATTACTATAAACATCAGCTGAGGCCCAGGGCGAGTGTGCCGGGTCTGGGCAATGTTCCCGGGAATCTGACCTGTGCCCGTGCCTCGGACGCGGCTCCCTGGAAAGGCCTGGCACATCCGGGCACTGAGAGCTGGCCTGATCAGCCCAGCGGCGTCAGCTCTCCTGGGAGCCCGGTCCCAGAGGCGCGCCACGTCTGGGAGGACAGCAGAGAGATGGGGCTTGGAAGCTACAGAATGATGGATTCTCTTGGGGAGAAACAAGTCCTTATCTTCACATGGACCCCGCGCTCCGAATGAAAAGCACATTTGCACAGCTGCCCGAGGAGGCCGCGAGGCTCGGGAAGTGTCTGCAGGCTCGCGGTTGCATAGGAACGCACTCAGTACAGTAACGCGGCCGGGCCGGGCGCCGGGAAAACAATGGATTAATATTGGGAACGAGAAATTACCCACCACTGGGAAAGCAATTAGGTCCCTCATCCGAGCTCGTTACATAGATGGAAATAGATGTGCTCCGGGCTCCGCTCGGCGGGGTGCAAGGCACGGCTCCAACTCGCTGGAAGCCGCTGGAAGAGGGAGGAACGCGGGGGCCTGGGCAGCGAGAACCCCACTCCTGGCTCCGGGCGGGCCATGGACCAAAGAACCAGCGGGAGAAGCCTGCAGACTCCAGCCGGGCAGGGCGCTCTAGCCGGGCAGGGAGCGGTGAGGCCTCTTGGGAGCTCACAGGGACGGTGAGCCTCTGGGGCTGCGGGTGGGGCCGGCCCTGGTCCTCCGCTCCCTGCCTCCCGGCCAGAGGCTTCTGGATGGGTCCCCGCTGCCCCCAGGGTCTGCAGCTGCCCGCCTGCCGGTCCTATCTGGGCAGGACGAGGGCTCTGCACGGTGGGCCCACTCCCTTCCTTTCCTAAGCGACACGTGCCTTTGGCCAGCCCCTTCCAGCTCGCCGAGGGGGGAGCCTGCAGGACCAGCTCCTCTGAGGGATCTGTCCTCTCCCGCGGGCCCTGGAGGGATGAGTGAGGGTGGCAGCAGTCCTGGCTGGACATGAGGGTCCAGGGAAGAGTCCACCCTCCTAGGCAGCTCTGCCAGCCCCCAAAGGAGGCAGGCATGTGCCTGGGGAGGGGCTGCAGGTGGAGCCCCCGGGCACACCTCTGGAGCGCTGGTCTCTGAGGCCTGGGCCCTGTGCTGTGCTCAGCCCGGCTCCAGGCTGGATGGAGGCCTCCCCAGCCCACCTCCCTGTCCCGGCCCAGCCAGACCTGGCTCAGGAAACCAGGACGGAGCTGAGTGGATGCTGCCTGTTTATGGGAGAGCGGAAGGCCCTGACCCCCGCCTGTCGCCCGTCTTTTCCAGGCCCTCCCCCTCGAGTCCTTCTCCTCAGCGGCTCCCTCCGCGCCGCAGCTCTCTTCTGGCGCTGGGGTCTGGGCTGCACGGAGGCCCGAGGGGGACAGGGTGCTGAGCAGGGCCCGTGACGGAGCCCGGGCGGGCTGAGGACCAGCGCTCCCTCCTCCGGTCAGCACCGCCGCCGTCTTGCTGTCTCCTCGCTCAGGCAGGTTTTGGGGCGTAAGGCTGTGGAGGGAGAGCACAGGGGGTCAGGGTACCCAGCTCCCCCCGAGGGCTGCCCCACGCGGGCTCAGGCTGAAATCTGAACCGCCTGCGTTTCCACCCAGGGCCCGTGGCGACGTGGGCCCTCCTGAGCTCCCAGCAGCCTCGAGCCGGCACTCCTGCACACTGACCCCACTGGACAGGCTGGCCACCCCTCCAGCCTCCGCCCTGCTGTTCCCTCTTCCTGGCCAACCCTGCATCTTTCAGGGTGCGGCTCAAACACCACCTCCTCTGAGAAGCCCTCGCCCCGTGTATCCCCACGGGCTCGCCATGGCCCAGGGCGACCCCTTCGAGAATGCGCTTCTGCCCTTCACGGCCTTGCCCTCTGCACGTGAGGCCTGGGTCCGGGAAGCAGTGCCAGCCACGAGGGGCCTGCAGGAGGAAGGCGCATGGGGCTCGGCCCTGCCTCCTCAGCCCCTCCAGCCCCCAGCCAGGCTCCCGGGTGGGGAAGGGGGTCTGAGGGCAGGCAGGCGCCAGAGGGTGTGAGGCCGGCGACTCGTCCCTATTCAGCCCAGACTCCCGAGGGGGCTCAGGCAGAGGACCGAGCGGACCTGGGTCGACGATGCTCTGCTTCCTCTTGGCGTTGGTTACGATCTGGTTCTCGTTCATCATCTGGACATCCTGGTCCTCCACGTGGCCGCTGCGGAGGGAAGACGGAGACGGTCAGGCCAGCCGTCCTGCCCTGTTCTCGGCAGGGCTGGCGGGGCTGCGGGCGGCTCGCCCACCTGACGGCGGTGTGTTTCTCCTGGTGGTGGGTGTCCACGTCCTGGGTGAAGAGGATGGTGTGGTAGGGCACCGTGGGCTCGCACGTGGGCAGGATGCCCCCCACCAGGTGGCCCACCATGGCCAGGATCCCGTTGTACACGAGCAAGTCGTCCACCAGGAGCTGAACAGAACAGAGGAGGGGCTGGCGGCACGGCTGGCAGGGCCCCTCCCACATGTGACTGGGCGAAGTGTGCGTCTGCACAGACCTGCCTGCTGCACCCTGGGGAAGGCACAGCCGCCAGCCGCCTGCTGCCGAGGAGCTGAGGGGCTGAGTGCCTTAGCACGAGGCCGCGCTGGGCAGCCCCAGGCCCACTTTCCCCAACCCAGGCCCCCGGCACCGAGAGCTCCCTCGGTCAGTCGGACTGGGGAAGAGGAGAGGAGAGAAAAGCCCCTCCGTGTTCAGGGTGAGGATTCCAGGCCCTGGGAGGGGGTTTGGGTCCTGGTTGGCTGGGAAGCCTCCCTACACGGAGGACCTGGCATGGTGTCTAAGGCTGCAACAGACAGGAGCCAACGGAACCGCATCCCACGATAGCGGCCGGCGGCCTCATCACCAGCCAGCACAATTCTCTCAAAACCCCGCCAGTGAGCACTCACGCCAAACTCCTTCACTCCTCGATGGGGTGTCTTCGCGTAATTCCACAGTTTGATCATCGACACGGTGGTAGGCAGATCGAAAATCACATAGACCCGGTTCACCTGTCGGGGAGGAGAGCAATTAACAGGCTTGTTTGCCAGCAGAGGCTCTGGGCTGGGTGGGGGCGCCTAGGCTGCTCGGCCACGGCCCACGGGTTCCCACGGCCTTTCATCTCCTCGAAGCCCATCGAGAGTCAGGTCACGTGTGGCTGCGTTTACAACAAAACGCTGAGCTGGCTCGTGGAGGCCTGCTTTCCTGGGCTGGCGTGGCCCCCAGTTAAATACCGCAGAGAACTGGGCAGCCTTCCCTTGCCCGCAGGTCAGGCCAGAAACAGTCTGGGGCAATGAGGCCAAGGCACAGGCCTCGACCCAAGTGAGGAGCGCTGCCCGGCCATCAGCACGGCCCGACCGTTCGTCCTTCCCGATTGCGAATGGAAAGCGCAGCGGACAGGCCCTGAGGCACCGCTGGGTGGTTTTCAGTACCAGCGTCTTTGAGTCTCTGTGGGGAGTGGGGAGGGGGTGGCTCAGATCAGCGGCAGAATCAGCTCCCCTCCTCCCTTCCGAACAGACTCTCAAATACCAGGGGCTCCTTGGAAGAGAGAATGACGCAACGCGCACCCAGCAGGCCACGGGCTGCAGGCTGGTTTGGCCCTGTGCTCAGCCCGTAGCCGTCCTCAGAGTGGAGGTGAAAGACGAGGGCGCGTGCACTGGTCACGCTCAAACTGGCAGCAGGCTGGGCTGCCTGGGGCACCTTGTGGCCAGGTCTAAGGGTGATGGTCTCTGCATTCCCCTTTGTAATGTGGGGCTGGGGCACTGGCCTCCACTCAAGGGAAGCTGATGGACCCTTGATGGTGGGGGCGCAATTTGGGGGAAGGACCTTTGGAAAACCTCCCTCCCAGAACTGAGAAAAAATGTACCCCCTTATCCTCCTGCCCAACTCCAGGGAGTGGAAAGGGGGACGTGTCAGGTGTCGCAGGGACACGCAGACGCTGCTACACATCACTGCCCCGGCATCGGGCCCTGCGGCTGAGGCTGGCGGGTGCGAAATCCACCTGTCCCATCTCCTGGCTGCTCTCCTCCCTCCCTCCCACCACCATCCAGGCCCCCGTGGGCAAAGCCCACCCCAGGCTCTCCGTCAGGCATTGGAGCTAAAGGGTCAGGAGGCTGGGGATGAACGTGGCCTGGAAGGAAGGCGTGTCCCTGAGCCCAGGGACAGGAAGCCTCCGTCCACCCAGGGCTGAGAGCCTCCAGGACCTACCAGGCCAGGCAGGATGGGGGCCAGCCACATGTGCCGGCCGTCACTGGTGTCGTTCACTCGGTCGATGAGCTTGTCAGGGGTCCGCACGTCCCCACTCACGCCCTCCAGGGAGTTCACGCTGTCGGGGAAGGCAGCGATGTCTGAGGAGGCCTCTAAGCTGCCATAACGCGAAGAAATGCACTCGGACCTGCACCACCCGCACGCGCGCGGCCGCCAGCCTCCATCACACTGTGGGCTCGGGACCGGCTGGCAGGCAGAGCAGCCTGAGAGGTGACAGCCAATTGGACAGGTTCTGGGGAGATGCGAGCCTGAGGCTGAGGGGAGCGGGGCGGAGTGAGGGTGGGACGCCCAGTTTCACCAAGTGCTAGAGGAAGGAACAAGCTACGTGGCTGCCACTCTGGAGAGTGGAGGGTAAACTCTGCAAAGGGTCTGTCTTGCGGGGCGACGGGCCACGGCTGTGCCTGTGCGGACCGTGCAAGGCTGGAAGGACTGGAGGGGGCCTGGCTTGGCGGCAGCCGCTCCCTGACGAGCATCAACTTGGGGCCGGAGAACCTGATTCCAGCTCTGGCTCTGCCCTTCTGACCCAAGGTCTTGGGCAAGTCACGGACGTCTCTGGGCTGGCTCCTCATCTATAAAATGGGTATAACCTTCTCCAAGTCCCAGAACTGATGCGAGGATCTCAGAGACACGGATCTGAGCTCTCCCAGTAAAACCATGGAACCTAATGATCAGAACCAGCAAGAATCACTTATCCCAGGTGAGGAGGACGGTGACACCAGGGAAGGAGAAAAGGATGCCACTGGAACCCAGGGGCCCCAGAGGTGCAAGGCAGGCTCTGGGGTTTGACCTGCCCTGGCAGGCCCCTAACTGGGGGTGTTGGGATCACAGGTCAAAAGGGGGTCAGGCGGGTTCCATCAGAGAGACATGGCAGCTCAGTATCAAGTGCATGGTCTCTGGAATCAGACTCCCAGCTCCACCACGCACTGGCTGTGCGACCCTGGGCAAGTTACCCACCTCTCGGTGTCTCAGTTCCTCATCTGTAAAATGGGAACAACACTCACTTCACAAGACTGTTGTGAGGGCCAATGAGGTACCAAGCGGCAAGCCCTGGCACGGTGCCTGGCACAGAGGAGCCCTCAGTAAATGCTAACATTGGGTTTGGGGGCCTGGTAGGTAACAGTAAGGACTGAGGGCTGAGATCAACTAGAAGGACGGGTCTGGGGGAACGGTAGCAGATATTCGTGTCCAGCCCCCTTCACTGTTCGTGACTGTGGCCTGGCCCTGCCAATTACTCAAGAAGAGCTAAAGATCGGGATTTTCATATGAAAACTAATTTTTTAAAAATACTAATTTAAAATAGTGAAAAACTCATTGGGTAAATCCTTGTGTGGCATTCCATGATCACAGGGTCCCAGGGTCAATACATTCAGGACACACTGAGTTGAGCCCAGTGTGACAGGTCGCTCCCGACAGGCCTTGTCAGAGCCTTTAGAACTCCGAGGGGCCTGCATCTGGGGGCCCCGCCCCATTCCCGCCACCGACCCTGTGCTGTGGAGCTCCTGCTGCGGGGCCTGGTCAGGCATGGCTGGAGCTGCTCACTGCTCTGCCCAACCCCCACGGGCAGCACCTGACTGTAGGCCGAGCCCACAGGCACGTTTATTCCCAGGCCCGGCTCCTACAGCGACATTTCCCTCCAGTCAAGGCTTCTGCTCCTTCCGCCCTCCGCGCCCTCCGCGCCCTCCGCGCCCTCCGCGCCCTCCACGCCCTCCGCGCCCTCCACGCCCTCCGCGCCCTCCACGCCCTCTGCACTCCACGCTCCCTGCAGCTGGGCGGAGCCCTCCTGCCCAGAAAGGATACTGTTTTCCGACAGAGGGATCTTCTCGCCCCGCTCATCGTACAGCTCGAGGCCGGTGAGGCCGATGTAATAGGGGTCACCCCAACTGGTCAGGAGCTGAAACTGAAAAATGACTGGGGCGCGCGATTAAGGAAAAACAGGCTTGATTTCGCGAGATCAAAGGAAAACAATGACAAAGATAACAGAGGGAGATAATGTTTTGGTTTATACAGATGAGCAAGAGCAGAAAAATGATATTTTCTCTCACTAAAACTGAATCCTGGCAAACTGTGTGTGTATCAGATTCTTTCATTTGAACTGTGTGTGTGTGTGAGTGTGTGTGTGTGAGTGTGTGTGTGTGTGAGTGTGTGTGTGTGTGAGTGTGTGTGTGTGTGAGAGTGTGTGTGTGTGAGTGTGTGTGTGTGAGTGTGTGTGAGTGTGTGTGTGTGAGTGTGTGTGAGTGTGTGTGTGTGTGAGAGTGTGTGTGTGTGAGTGTGTGTGTGAGTGCGTGTGTGTGGGAGTGTGTGTGTGTGTGTGTGAGTGTGTGTGTGAGTGCGTGTGTGTGGGAGTGTGTGTGTGTGTGTGAGTGCGTGTGTGTGGGAGTGTGTGTGTGTGTGAGAATGTGTGTGTGAGTGTGTGTGTGTGAGTGCGTGTGTATGTGTGTGAGTGTGTGTGAGTGTGTGTGTGAGTGTGTGAGTGTGTGTGTGAGTGCGTGTGTGTGGGAGTGTGTGAGTGTGTGTGTGAGTGTGTGAGTGTGTGTGTGTGTGAGTGTGTGTGAGTGTGTGTGTGTGTGTGTGAGTGTGGTGTGTGAATTAAAACCTTTCTCCAGGCCCAGGAGATGAGGAGCAGGAGGGGACAGTGCTCTCCAGGGAGCTGGGAGGGTGGGGACACATTTGTGTCACAAACTCATTATATGGTGCTGAACAAACTGACCAGGCCTCACACTGCCTCATGCCTCAGTTTCCCTGACTGCAAAGTGCCAAGAACAGAGAACCTGTTCCCTCCCGTCCGTTCAAGGATTCAAGGATGCGGGCTGTCCCGGGGAGGAGGGCACATGAGCTTTACAGAGGATGGGCCGTGACAGGGAGTGCCCTTCCCCCGGCTGCAGGCCTGGCCCCCAAGCCCAGGGTGTGCGGAGGGCGGGAGAAGGATACAGCCGCAGGGCATCAGCGGAGCCTCATAGTCCATGCTCGCCCGCTCCAGGCTTTTTGTGTTGAGCCTAAGGAAACACAAGACAGCAGAACACAAGGGCTCGAATGGCTGGTCAGCGATTCCGTTGCAGACTCTGAAGACAGACGGCGGTAGCATTCCGGGGGCGGTAGCATTCCGCAGGGAGCTCCCATTCTACTGGGGAGGCTCGGCCACAGCCAACGTGGGCACAGGCTTGACTGACATGGACTCTTCTATGCCTTAAACTACCCGAGTGGCGGTACTCACATCCCCAGTGTGAATGAGGAAAGCGGAGCTCAGAGCAGTGAAACCTCCTCCCTGCTCAAGGCCACACAGCTGGCAGGAGGCAGAACTGGGGTGTGACCCGAGGCTGTCCAGTTCCAGAGTTCTCCTAACCACCCCACCTACTGCCCCTTGTGCTGAGAGCTCAGTGAGGCACCCGACGGGCCCCGGGTGGAGAGGGGGTCAGGGGTGGAGAGTTGGACATGGGTGGGAAGGCGATGACTGAGCTATGGAGAAGGAAGCCGTGGGAAGAGTCAGAGCCATGCCTTCCCAGCACAGGGGCAACAAGAACAAAGCCCCTAGGTGGAAAGAGGCTGGGGGTGGGTGCTGTTTGCCACAGGAAGCAGCCGGGGGCAGGGTAGCTGCAGTGAAGAATGGGGGCAGGAGGGCAGGGAGAGGAGGCCAGAATGTGGGCCGCACCCTGAAGGCTTTGGCTTCTTGATCCTGAGCAAGTGACTTCACTAGCTGGGCCTCAGTTCCCACATCTGTAAAATGGGCGGAATCGTCTCTACCTGAATGAACGTGAAGCATGTGGCACAGAGCAGGTGCTCTGGAGGGAAAGCCCTCTCCTCCTCCATGTCCTCCCCACGGGGCTTCTCTCCCTGGTCTCAGCCAGTGCACTCGCCTGGCCTGGTTTCCCTCGTTTCAAGGGCAATGTTATCATTAGTGACTGTTCCCAGTGACTGGCCCAAGAGGTGGTCCCAGCTACCGTGCAGGGAAACTCATTTTGTTTCAAGAACTTGGCCCCTGGCATTGGAACATCAGGGGGTTTAAGTGAGTGGCCTTAACGTGGCATTTACAAATGGTTATGAACTCAATGCAGCTGAGAATGGGGCCAAGAAATCCCAGTGAATCCATGAAATGTTAGGCATTGTTTTTCTCTGAATCTTTCTAAGTCAGGAACGGAGAGGCCAGAGCAGGGAGGCCTTCCCTGAACCAGCCGGCGGGCATTTCTGGAGCCAGGCGGCTGGGATGCTCTTTTCCCAGCAGGAAGCCCAACGAAGCATTTAAAATCGCCAGCACTCCAGCCTGCGAGAAACCCAGACACCAGACAAGGTGGGTACATCCCACAGGCTCCCGGAGAGGCTTGGCTGAGCTTTAGAAACAGCCAAGTTGAAAAGCAATGCGTTTGATCACCATTTCAAACCGCTTTAGGCGGACACTTCAGAGCGCAGGCAGAGCCCACGGCGGAGGGAGGGTATGCGGCGCGCTCCTCACCTCTGGGCCGGCTGGGGCCGGAGCCGAGCCTGCAGGTAGTCCACAAAGAGGATTTCTTGAGCAAAATCAAAGTGGCAGTTGCCGGGCCCCTTGCGGATGAGAAAGCCCTCTGGAGGGGAGACGCACAGGCCGTCCAGGGAGACGTGGGCGATTTTGGCCTAGAACACAAAGCAAGGCCGTGCCTGCAGGGCCAGCGAGGGCAGCAGCGTGTGCTCTGTCCCCCACGCGGCTGCAGCTGGAGCTGCTGTTTGTGACTCAGAAAGAGCTTCCTCCCAGGCCAGTCCACTCTCCAGTGGCACCCCTGCTGTGCCCGGCTGTGCTGGGCGCCGGGCAGAGAGCAGGAGACAAGGCAGGTGAGGCCCTGCCCCGGTGGACACGTCACCGTGGCCGGAGGTCGTACGACATGGTGGTCAAGGGCATGGACTCAGTGCTCTGCCATCCTTGCCCTGCCTCGATGTCCTCATCTGTTAAATGGGTTCAATAATGAGTCACTTATGTAAAGTGTCCAGGAAGGACAGGCCTGGCACAAACACGCACTGCACTGCTCCTTCCGTAGCCCTGGCGCACACCTCACCGCGGCCCCTAGCTGTCCTGCTAGGGCGGTGTCCTTGGTGGTTTGAGTCCACTTTGGTGGCAGAGCCCCCAGCTGGACCATCTCTCCCTCTGCCCCAGGGCCTGGCACGCAATGGGTGCTTACTAAGAGCATGCTGAATCAGTTGGATTTGGGCCAACAGGTCCCCCTGTTCTCGGCCAGATTTTGCCAGCCAGGAACCCAGCAGTAAATCTCAAGGCCCCAATGGCAGGGTGTGAGGTGGCTCAGCTCTGAGTGAGCAGAGGGGGTGATCAGTCAGCACCCCTCCAACCACACATTTTGGAATCCAGGCTCCATGGCACCTCGCCCCACCTTCATGGTTAGCTACATGGGACCAGCTGCTGACCAAACTGGTGGAACTCCTCCCGGGAGCTCCGGGAGATGCCGCAGGCCCCTCCGCGCAGAGGGGACGCCTGTGCTCCTGGAGCCCCTCGTCCGTCAGCATTAAGGGAGCCCCATATGCAGTCGGTAGTCACAGGCACATAAACCTGCAAAGGGCAGAGTGATGGCTTTGGCTGGATAAGAGGGCCCTAAAGCTGTCACCCTATCTCCATCTTTCTTCAAACCTGACTCCCACCCACCCCGGCGGGACCTGTGGCCCCGGCCTGCAAATAGCGCTCCCACCCCTGCCCTGGGCTGGTTCAGCCTAAGGGAACGGGAGCAACCAGCACCAGGCCTGGGTTAGCTGGCGCCTCGAAAGAGGAGGCCTCTCTTCGGCTGGGCTTGGCGCTTGCAAAAGCCTAGGGCTGCCAGGTGTGCCCCGTGGAGAAAGCCACCGAAAGCGAAGCTGGCCAGAGAGCAAAGCAGAGGCCCAGGACGACTCTGTCCTCTTCCGGGGGCCACCATCTCCTCCAGGAAGCGTCCTTGACTGCCCCGGGTACTGTCATTCCCGGGTGGAGGGGGCTTTTATCACCTTCTCTTAGCTAAGGGCACTAGAGTTCAGAGAGGCTAAGCATCTGCCCAAGGACTGGAGTGATCAAAGCCCGGCACCAGGAGCCCAGGCCTGGCTCTGCCCCCGCCAATGGCCCACAGCCAGATGCCCTGGGGGGTGGCCACCCAATTGTTTTTTGGGAGGCACAGTTCTTTTTTCTTTTTTAAATATATTTTTATTGATTTTAGAGAGGAAGAGAGAGATAGAAACATCAATGATGAGAGAGAATCATTGATTGGCTGCCGCCTGCACACCCCCTACTGGGGACCGAGCCTGCAACCCAGGCATGTGCCCTTGACCAGAATTGAACCCAGGACCCTTCAGTCTGCAGGCCGATGCTCTAGCCACTGAACCAAATTGGCTAGGGCTGGGTGACAGTTTCCACCACTTGCCCCAGGATCCGCCCTCTCCGACAGGGCCCATCTCCCGCCTCCCGCGGTGGCAACATGGCACTGGCACCGAGCATGGTGGGGGCCAGACTGGGAAGCAGGGCTCTGGGCCCAATGTCCCCAGGACGTGACTCCAGGTCACAGAAGGTCAATGGCAAAGCCGGATTCACTCAAGAGAATGCAGAGACTCAGGCACAGGGTGAAGCACAAGAATGTGTTTTTTATCTGACTTTTAAACGTGCTGAACCTGAGAGCGCGCCTACACAGACAGGGCGGGCGGGGAGGGTTTGCAGCTGCTCCAGAGACAGCGCCAGGGGCTGGGCTGCCACCACTGTGGTACCCCAGTCCTCCGGGCGTCCCCGCCCCCGCCCCCCCCGCGCCCCGGGTCCTGCAGAGAACTCTGTGGCAAGCAGGACGTGGTGGGAGCCCAGACCCAGGCTCGCAGGCCTCAGGCCGAGTCCTGGCGTTGTGAACCTTCGCGTGGCAAAGGGTGATGACCACCCTCCTGAGGAGGCATCGTCCTCCTCGACACTTCACAGACCGGGACACTGAGGGCCGGGAAAGCGGCCACTTTCGGAAGGTCACAGGGGGCCAGGGTCAGAGTGGAGATTCAGACTCCGGGCCCGTGACTTCGGCACCCGAGCTGCACGGCTGTATGATCCGAGGTGAGTAATCACCATGGCGTCCATAGCGTTCCCTGGTTCACACAGGGCAGAAGCCCGCGGGGGGCACGGCTGCTCTCCCCGCGTGCGGCAGGGGCCCTGCAGCCCACAGGCGTGCGCTGTGCTCAGGACCCCGGACGAGCAATCGGACCTTTCCGCACCTCACTTTCCTGAAGGACGAGGGGAATGTGCCTGCCTCAGAGCTGGGGACAAGCGTCCAACGGAAGGATGAGTTCCCGAGCAGCCCTCGGCCAGGGCCTGGCCCACAGCGCCCGGGGAACAGGGCACCACTGACCACCAGCGTGAGGGCTGGGCCCGAGGACCCCAGAGCCCCCAGAACAGACAAGGCGCCCGTGTCCCGAGGCTGCCCAGGCTCTTTAGGCTGCGTTTGCTGTCTGCAGGAGGAGGAGACCACAGCCTGCTCTCCCTGGCTGAAACCCCCATGGCCTTTTGGAAAGTTCTGGAGGATTTATGCTCCTCTCTGGCAGCCACGCCAGCCATTCATCACGGCGCCGTTTCCTTGGCCGTGGGCTGAGCGTGGCCACCTGCCCCCCTTACCCCTCGGTAGGTGTCCTCGGGAGATTTATTGTAGTTCCAGAAGCGCAGGCCCGCGATGCTCTCTGCTCTGTCGAAGCGGATCGTGACCACGTGGTCCAGCCCCGGCGAGAAGGGGATCAGCCACATGTGCTCATCCTCCATCGTGATGTTGGCTCCATCGATTAACCTGCACGCAGCAGAGGGAGCAGTGAGGGGGGTGGCCAGCGCGGGGTCGACATCCTCTCACCGCCCACTGCCCGCCAGGAGCCTGCCTGGCTGGGGTGAATTCAGGGATGTGAGCCTAATTAACCAACAGTGAGGGGCCACCTCTCAACTGCGAAATGAGACAAAAGAAAACAGGAAGAGAAATAGCAGCTTGTGCTGTTTAAGGTGCGTGGAGCCATCCTCCGAGTTTTTTAAAAGGGGGCAGATGTGCCATTTTCCAGGACCCTCCAACCCCGTGACCCCAAATCTAGTCCACCTGTTGGAACGGCTGTCTGCACTAGACGTGCGTGGCAGTCTCATTGTTTACACTAGAAAAGGAGAACCGAGGCCTCAGAGCAGGGGAGGGTTGGTCAGTGCCCACCACGAGGCTGCGCAGCCACAGGGGGAGGCGGGCGCAGCCACAGGGGGAGGTGGGCGCAGCCACAGGGGGAGGCGGGTGCAGCCACAGGGGGGAGGCGGGCGCAGCCACGGGGGGAGGCGGGCGCAGCCACGGGGGGAGGCGGGCGCAGCCACGGGGGGAGGCGGGCGCAGCCACGGGGGGAGGCGGGCGCAGCCACGGGGGGAGGCGGGCGCAGCCACGGGGGGAGGCGGGCGCAGCCACAGGGGGGAGGCGGGCGCAGCCACAGGGGGGGAGGCGGGCGCAGCCACAGGGGGGGAGGCGGGCGCAGCCACAGGGGGGAGGCGGGCGCAGCCACAGGGGGGAGGCGGGCGCAGCCACAGGGGGGAGGCGGGCGCAGCCACGGGGGGAGGCGGGCGCAGCCACAGGGGGGAGGCGGGCGCAGCCACAGGGGGGAGGCGGGCGCAGCCACAGGGGGGAGGCGGGCGCAGCCACGGGGGGAGGCGGGCGCAGCCACAGGGGGGAGGCGGGCGCAGCCACAGAGGGAGGCGGGCGCAGCCACAGGGGGGAGGCAGGCGCAGCCACAGGGGGGAGGTGGGCTGTGGGCGGCAGGGCCCCGCTCTTCCTGCTGGAAAATGAGGAGCAGGCCCAGGAGAGACTGCGCAAAGAGGCAGCACGGTGGCGGAGGCGCCGGAGGGGGGGAGGCGAACATTCCCTCTCTGAAGGCTGTATGGACTCGGGTTGTTTAAAAGAGTCTGTCCTTTCTTTGTTGTGCTGGGAGGGACATGGAGCCCAGCGTGAACCTGGCCGCTCGGATGGGGGGGGGCGGGACAAGCTCAGGGCAGGTGTCTCGGGGGAGCTGTAATCTCCCCCCGACCCCCCACCCCGTGTGGGCATCGCGGGGAACTTCCTGGCAGGAGGAGCCCCAGCCCTTGGTGCTCCCCGCCGCTGCTCTGAGCTTGTCATCTTGCTCAGGCTGCTCCGTCCGGGCCAGTGTCCGGTTCTCCTGCTCTGACATCCTGCCTCATCCTCCGCAGCTCTGCCCGACTTCCCTGGACACCCAGGCCCCGCCCTCGTCCTGTGGCTCTGGCCTGGGGACAGGGGCCTTCCCCTCACTTTCCGGGCAACTTTGAAGCTCTGCCTTGTCTCCTGTGTTGGATTGGATTGGATTGGATTGATCCTCACCTGAGGACATGCTTCTTGATTTTTCAGAGGAAGGGGAAGGAGGAGAGAGAAACATCAATCAGCTACCTTCCCATATGCTCCCCAACCAAGAACCAAACCTGCAACCTAGGTATCTGCCCTGACGGGGAATTGAACCCACAACCTGTCGGTGTATGAGACGATGCTCCAATCAGCTGAGCCACCCAGCCAGGGCTGTTTCCTATATTTTAAAATAAACTTTTATTTTTTTCCTTTTCTACATTTAAAAATTTTAGATTTGGAATAAATCTTATAATCGAACCGTTCATCCAAGGAGGTAATGTTCTTTGCTTTTTCTCTAAAAGGCGGTTATTAAATTGATGGATGGTGTGTCTTACAATTGCCGGCATCTTAAAACCGAGGGAATTCAGCGATTTAACAGTGGGGTGTTTGTGGAGTCAAGCTGACTGAGGACTACACCAGAGAACCTTCTATTTCCTTCCCAAAGCCATTCCCTCTCTGTCCTAGGCCTGTGGCTGCCTCCAGAGCAAGGCCGCTGTCCAGTTCTGAGAGGAGAAAGAATTGCTGATGCGTTTACAACTGATGGGTGTGGGAGGCCCATAGACACCCTCAAGGATACCCAATGACCCCTCCCTGCTCTGCCCACCAAACGGCCTTGAACCAACGACCAACCCACTAGCATGAGCATCCCTAGAGGCCAGATTATGGTCTCTAAACACCATTTTCCACTAAAGGAACCAGTGGCTGAGTCCATATCTGGGACAAGATGAGTACACCTGAAACTTAGATAAGAAAAGAATTTTTAAAAGAAATACATAAAATGAGCCTGGAATGACCTGTTATGTCAGAAAGCAGGGAAGCTGCCAGATCACTCACTGTGTTAAAAAGGGCCCAGGAGCCCGGCCGGCGTGGCCCAGTGCTTGAGCATCCACCTATGAACCAGGAGGTCACGGATCAATTCCTGGTCAGGGCACATGCCCGGGCTGCAGGCTCAATCCCTAGTGTGGGGCGTGCAGGAGGCAGCCGATCAATGTATCTTTCTCATCATTGATGTTTCTCTCTCTCTCTCTCTCTCTCTCTCCCTCCCCCCCCCACCCCCTGCTTCATTTCTGAAATCAATAAGATATATTTAAAAAAAGAAATAAAATAAAAAGGATCCAGGAGCTCCCAATGTCTAAGACAGGGGTGGTCTGGCCCTGTCATGGCATCAGGGTGAGTTAGTTAAACGTCTGACCAAATAGAGCAGGCTAATGTTTAAGTTGATAATTTGTATGGCCCACAAATGACATTATAAATATCCAAATGGCCCTGGGCAGAAAAAAGGTTCCCCATCTCAGGTCTAAGAGCATCCAATCCAGCATCAGTAGGATAAAAACTACAACAGATTGAAACCCTTCACAAACAGAACATTTAAGTCAGTGGTTATGACAGCCAAGGCAACCAACTGTGCCCTGGCCAGTGTGGCTCTGTGGTTAGAGGGTTGGACTGAGCACTGAGGGTCAGGTTTGATTCCTGGTCAAGGACATGTACCTGGGCTGCAAGTTCGATCCCAGGCCCCAAAGAGCGTGGGGGAGGCAAGCAATCAATGTGTCTTTCTCACATAACGCCTCTCTCTCTCTCTCTCTCTCTCTCTCTCTCTCTCTCTCTTCCTTCCTCTCCCTTCCTACCTTCTTCCCTTCTATTCCTAAAAAATCAATGGAAAAATATCCTTGGGTGAGGATTAACAAAAAATAAATAAGAATAAATAACCAAATGTATTAAAGGATGCTAGAGAAACAACTTGTTGTTTTGAAAACTAAGAAATAAAAGGAATCAAACATTTAGACTGCCTTTCCTGTTTGAATTATACCTCAGAGTAAACAAGTAATTGAGGGAAAATTTCTCTTTATTGATGAAAACAAGAAAGATAGCATCAGTGTATCACCTGCTTGCAACCCGAATAAATTAATGGACCTAGCCACTGAGCTTCACAACCACAGAGAGCCTGACAACCACAGAAGGAAATGAACAATTAGGAAACACAGGGCCAGGCAGGGGAGCGGCTGTGAGCCTCCAGCCATGGGATTCACTGTCCCTGTTCTATGATGAGGAAATCAGGCAGGGAAGACAGGATCAGTCAGTGCTTAAGTGCATGGGCATTGCTCTCCCATACCTGCACTCTAACCATGATTCGGCTGGTCTGAGTGACCTTCAGCCAGTTTTTAACCCCTCTCTCCCTCAGTTCACAGAGGTACCTATCATATTATTAAATGGATGGATATCTGTAACCTGCTTAGCACCTGGCATTTAACAATGGCTAAAAAAACATGGCAACTATAATTTCAGGTATTACTATTACTAGAGGCCCGGTGCATGAAATTCATGCACTGGGGGGGCGGGGGGGGGTCCCTCAGCCCAGCCTGTGCCCTCTCACAGTCCGGGAGCCCTCAGGGGATGTCAGACTGATGGCTCAGAGGTGGGACAGCTCCTGCCACCGCCGCTGCACTCGCCAGCTGTGAGCCCGACTTTGGGCTGAGTGGTGCCCCCCTCCTCCCCCCCGTGGGAACACACTGACCATCAGGAGGCAGCTCCTGCGTTGGGTGTCTGCACCCTGGTGGTCAGTGCACATCATAGTGAGCGGCTGAGCGGCCTTAGCATATCATTAGCATATTACGCTTTGATTGTTTCAATGGTCGACTGGATGACCGGACAGTTAGCATATTAGGCTTTTATTACATAGGATTATTGAAGAGGTTAAGGAACTTACTGGCTGGCAGGGGCAGAGCCAGGATTTGAACTCTCATCCCTCTGACTCCTGGACTCCTGTTTGCAGGGCCGGCAGGGCAGCTGCCCTGAGGGGACAGTGCTGCTCAGCAGGTGAAGGGCCCCAGGGATCACGGCTATACGTCAGGCTGTCCTCTTACTGACTTGACCCAACCTGGGTTTATGAAACCTGACAAATGCAGAGGAAAGTGCGGGGACCTCCTCGGCAGTCACCTTCTGTCTCAAGGAGGGGACAGCTTGCTCTCTGAGAGGCGAGGCCGCTCATGAGGACAGGCAGGGCCATCCCTGCAAAAGCTCCCTGAGCAGCCGCTGTGCTCGTGGCCGGAGCTAAGCTCTGCCTGGAAGCAGGAGAGCCGGCCTCGCACCCAGCCTGCACCTGCTGTGCGGTCCCGGGGTACCCTCCCTTTCTGAGCCTTGGGCTCCTTAACTCTAAGATGAGGAGACCAGACCTTGGGGGTGGTTGGGGGTTGCTGTCTGACGTTGGAATCTCAGGTCTAAGATGCAGGACAGGCCCTGCTCCGGCTGCCATGAGTTAAGCTTCCTGCAGACACCTACTTGTCCAGGGTCCGGGAGTCATCCGTGTACTCAGGGAGGTCATTTAAGTCCCTGGGGGAGGCGGAGATCTGGTGCAGGCTGATGGGCAGGGCCTGGCCATCCTTGCCCACCACTTCCAAGCCCGTGAGTCCCAGGTAGTGCAGGTCCCCCCAGGAGGCAGTGAAATTCAGCTGAAGGCCTGCAACAGGAAGGAAAGTGGTGTGAAGGAGGAGCCCAACATGGAGAGGAATGGTCCTCAGCCTGCACCGGGCCAACTGGGAAACGCAGACACAAACGCAGTGCCCCCAGGCTCGCCCCGCCCCTTTCCTCAGGGGGCCTGGGGCTGGGGTGCTGCTGACAGTTCACAAAGTGCGGGGGTGAATGGGCCAGTGCTGTTTGAACCTGTGCAGCCCTGGGTCCTTTCTCTACCCCTCAATCCTGTCATCCCCTTGACGTTGAACAGCCTAGAGTGGCTTCCCATGATGCTTGGCCAACAGGCCCTGCCCACCTGGCTTCTCTTTCTCTAACCTCATCGTGCACCAGGAGTTCCTGGCTCCACTAAGATGGCATCCGTCACTCACTTACTCTTCTCTCCCGCCAGGGCCGCTGCTCATGCTGACCTCTCTCTGGACCGCACACGCCTGGCCCACTTGTGCTCGTCCTTCAGACCCCAGCTCACCTCCTCAGGGAAGCCCCTTCGACTACACTGACCTCCATTCACAGCTGCTGAGTCCCTGTGAACTTCCCCTTCCACGCCCTGGTCGCACTGCGATCTTGTGACCCCTTGGTTCAATATGCCAGACGGTTAACTCAGGACAGAAACCCCATCTGTTTGCTTTGTCCCCAAAGCCCGCCACAGTGCCATTCAGTACAGAATGATTAAACAAGTGTGAATGAGGCGGCGACATCACTAAGCCACACGCTGGGAATGGATGTTTTATGCAAATGGGCTGCTATCATGAGGACTGGGGTAAAGGAAGTGACCACTTCCACCCTTTGCCCCGCCCCACCTGCTCCCTTAGAGACCATGTAGATTTTACAAGGACCTTCTGGGCACCTGCGGCACAATGGCTGCGAATCGTCCACTTGCCCAGAAAGCTCCAAGCAAATGCACCTCTTGGCCGGGCCTGTCGGGCTTCTGGCTGGAACTTCCTTCCTTACTGGTCTCCTATGAGGGTGGGCCATGCCCCGTGAGCTCCGCCACCTTGGGGGCCTTGGAGCCCACAGCAGCCTTTGGGTGGCTGTGCTCAGAAGACCCGCGCTCTCTGCAGCGTGTGCAGAATGCCAGCACTGCAGCGCCGGGGAGAACAGCCTGGCTGTCACGGTCCCCCCGTCCGGCTCAGGGGAGGAGGTGGAGGCCAGGGAGGTCGCCGGGCATTCCTGTGAGGCCCAGCCAGGCCACCTCCCTGGAGCTCAGCTCCTCTCCGACGCCCGTCGTTTCCAACGTGCGTGGTGTCACTCGGCCTCAGACCCTCCTGCTCGCCATGGGGCCAGGGTAACTGAGCATCTTGGGGTCAGTGAAGACCCGTGACCAGCACGGTATGGGCACATGGCAGCTCTCACAGCACCGCAGCCTGCAGAATGGCCACACCCCCCCCCCGCCCCCCCAGCCCCTGCCTCTGCAACGCGACTCGGCTGCTTCCCCCAGACAGAGGGGGAGTCTCTTCCGCTCCTTGGGCCTGGGCATTGGCCTGGGAGACAGAGCAGAGGTACTGCAGGCAGAGGCTGCAAAGCACACGCGCGCTGGGGCTGTCCTCTCTCCACACTTGGGGTCTGGCCACAGGCAGGAGACAGATGAGCCCCGGCGCCCCTCACTCTGGCCAGCAGCCTCCCAACTGCAGGACACGAAGGCATCCTGGATCATTCAGCTGCCAGCCCACTGCCAGCTGAGCAGACTCCTAAGCAGGCCCAGGAGATGCCGGACAAGCCAGCTCAGAGGACTCCCAGCCACGCCACTGATACGCTCCCCATCGAGTCTGTGCTCAGATGCCCTCTCCCCCGAGAGGCCCCCCACCTGAGCTCAGAGAGCACCACGCCCTAACCAGCGGTTCTCAACCTGTGGGCCGCGACCCCTGAAAATACATCCTGCATATCAGGTATTTACATGACGATTCATAACAGTAGCAAAGTTACAGTTATGAAGTAGCAACGAAAATAATTTTATGGTTGGGGGTCACCACAACATGAGGAACTGTATGAAAGGGTCGCGGCATTAGGAAGGTTGAGAACCACTGCTTCTGCTCCACCCTTTGTCACAGCACCTGCCCCCATCTGACAGTTTTACTGTCAGGGTTACTTGCTATTTGGTCTGATCAGCCTTCCCCACTAGGACGGGAGGCAGCTCCCTGCGGGCGGGAACGCCGTGGACGCTGTGCACTGTTGTACCCCCAGAGCCTAGAACAGTATCTGAAAAACAGATGGTCAGTGGGGCCTTTTTCTTTTGAAATAAGTGCCTGACTGAAGAGTAGGTCTCAGTGGATACCTGCAGTGAGTGAGTCAGCCTCAAATCATTGCATTCACCAAGTTCAGCGTTAATGATAGACAGATATTACCGATCACTTACTATGTACCAAGTCCTGCCCCTGGAACTGGAAACACAGGGTAAACACAGAGCAGAATCGCTGTAGGAGCTTCTGTGCAGTGAAGACACACAACAAACACCTAACAAACCAATAAATGCGATCGTTCCTGAGAGCACCGACCGCCACGGGATAAATCAGAGAGAGCTGGCGAGGCAGTGGCTGGGAAGGGGCGGGCGGTCAGGGAGGGCTTCTCGGAGGGGCGACGTTCGAGCTGAGGCCTGGGGATGGAGGAGGCTGCCACTCTTCAGCATGTCTGGAAGGACATTCCCAGCTGAGGACAGAAGGGCCACGGCCCTGGGATGGGAGCCACTCGGCCAGTGGCTGGAGCCAGGTGACCGAGGGAGAGGGAGGGGGAGAGAGCGACCTCAGGGGCGCTGTCACACGTGCTTCAGGCTGGGCAGGGCTGGCCACGCCACGGGGTCCGGGTTCCCCTCTGCACTGGGGAGCGGGGGAGGTCCGGGTTGAAGCAGGGGCGCCCACGTGATGTGATCTGCATCTCACAACGTGACTCGGTTGGACCCTCTAGGACAGCGGTCGGCAAACTGCGGCTCGCGCGCCACAAACGGCTCTTGGCCCCTTGAGTGTGGCCACGAAGTTTCAATCGCACTGTACGTGCGCGCCCGCACGTGGTATTTTGTGGAAGAGCCACACTCAAGGGGCCGCAGTTTGCCGACCACTGCTCTAGACCAGGAAGGAGGCTGCTGGATACGGATGCCCTGGACCAGGTGGTGAGTGGTGACAGCAGGGCACAGGGGACGGGTTCGAGTCAGCTTTGGAGACAGCACTGCCAGATTCTCAGTGGCACGTAGGGAGTGAGGGGAAGAGAAGATGTTTTTGACCTGAGTTCCAGAGCGGCTGTGGGTATCCCTCCTGAGACGGAGGCGGCCTGAGGTGGAGGAGGGAGCAGGTCTGGGTGAGGGGAGCAGTGCCAGGGACCAGTGCCAGCCCCTCTTGTGAAAACAAGACTTGGCACCCCAACTCGCCCTTCGTTTGCCTGGAAGAGGCTCTGCAAGGCCACCGGATGCAGGGCTGCTTGCCTGTCTGAGCTCACAGCCATGCTCGCATCCATTTTCCTGTGGTGTACCATCAGTATTTATATACGCGGAAATTAATTTTGTTATTTCTCGTCCATGTTTCAACTCTCCCAGCTCCTTTCCTATTCATCACTGCTGATATTTGCAAAATGTCCAAAATGCGTGTCATCTGCAGATTTGCAAATCATACATCCCTTTTCAAAAACATTAACAGAGCCTGGCCAGTGGCTCAATGGTTAGAGCATCGGCCCAAGTACCGAAGGGTCTAGGGTTCGATTCCCGGTCAAGGGCACACATCTGGGTTGCAGATTCATTCCCTGACCCCGGTCTGGGTGAGTATGGGAGGCAACCAGTTGATGTGTTTCTCTCACATCAATGTTTCTCTCTTTCTCCCCCTCCCTCCCTTCCACGCTCTCTGAAAAGTAATGGAAAAAAATATCTTCGTGTGAGGATTAACAACAAAAACATGAACAGGACTGGCCGTATGTACCAAGCCAGTATGCACTGGCCGGTCTGGGGGTCAGGATTTTGGCAGCGAGCAGGAAAGCCCAAGGCTCAGAGGCAGGAGACAGACAGCAGGGCGCGGGCGTGCGGAGGGGGCTGGCCAAGGGGTTCTGCCTCCGAGGTTGCACTTTCCTCAGCAGAGAGGCCTCGGAGCCCACGCCAGGCAGCTCCCGAAGCACCACGATCACGTTTCCGAGAAAGGTCAGGAGCTGGCTCAGTGGGAAAGACATTTACAGACGCATCTTTGGGGAAATCACCAGATGAGGGGACAGAGGCTGCCCCTTCCGTCTTCTCGTCACTGCACTCTGACCGCCTCTGGGGCAGTGTGGGTGGCTGACCCTCAGCACGGGCTCCAGGGACGCCCTTGGTCCAGGCCTGGCCATGCGCGGTTTCCATCTCACACCTCCCTCCCCGCTCCCTCCCCGTCCTGGGGAGCCAGTGATTGGTTTAAAGATGTTTGGGCATGTGATCCAAGCCAGGCTGAGCAGAGCAATTCTGGGAGTGCTGACCTCCGACCCTCACAGCTGAGTCCCCCCACTTACGGCTGCCCTTGGCCTTGCCCCTCCCCAGGCAGCCCATGTCCAGGGACATGCTGATATGGGTGTGTAAAGGCCTGTCCCCTCACTCAGCTCAGGACAACGCCAGGGCTGCCACAGCTCAAGCTCCCTGTGGAGCTGGCAGAGGCCTCCATGTGAGTACGAGGCTCAGCTTCTCCTCTGCCCCGTCCTGCTTCCTGTCCTCCCCAGGAACATGCCCCAGGAAACTCCACCCCAAAGTCTGCTTCCTGGGAACCCAGTTCAGTCGGCCCTCAACCGACAGGGATGGAGAGGGAGGGACGGAGAGGGAGGGCACGCTGGGCAGAGGGCACAGCTTAAGCGGGGGACAGGTGGGGGTTCAGAGACGAGTGTGGGGAGGAGGACCGGCTGAACCTAGATGTCTGGCTTCATTCGAGAGATGATGCAGAGGGAGTGTGACAGAAGTTAACTGGAAGGAATGAGTGCTCAGGGGGCAAGAAAGAGCAGGGGAGGCTGCAAGGAGCAGGTGAGCCACGAGTCTCGGTAACAGGGACCAGGAGGGAGGCGCGCACAGTCCACGGCCACCTCTGGCCTGAAGATCTAGGATGCTGGCAGAGGGCTGGCCTGCGCGTGCGTGGAGGAGGAGGGGTGGCTGCAGGGTCACATGGGAAAAGACGAGAGAAAAAGACAGTGAAGCCCAGATGGGATTTGCTCAGAGGCCACCCACCGGCAGCCAGCTGGCCGATACACATGTGTTTTGTTTGGCTCATTAGTTGTTTAAAAATATTATAAAATTAGTCACCAACATTTAAAAAGCTGAAGATTTCACATAAAAATCCAAATTTGTGACTTCTCAGAAGAACTGGCAGCTCCCGCCTGGTGCAGGGAGCAAGGTGGTGTCTTTGCTCCTGCTGGTTTCAGCCCGCTGGCCACAGGGCCACATCTGAGCAGACCCTGTCCCAGGGGCCAGGATGCCCGACCCCCGAAGGCCCTCCTTCCCCTGGCACTGCCCAGGACAGGGTACTCACAGATCCCGTGGTAGATGCCCGGTTCCGGAGTGGTGACTTCAGGCACAGGGGCGCTGGGTGGCAGCTCCACTTCCGGGACCTGCACGCCGGTTAGGGGAGAAGCAGAGGCAAGGGGTGACCCACAGAGCTGGCTGGCGATGTTTCCAGCTGCTGCTGCCCACCTCACGCCCCAGGGAAGTCCCCGTGTCCCTTGTTGTGTTTTCTGTCTCTGTGGAGGTCGTGACTGGTAACATGAACAGGCCCAGGAACCCTCGTGTGTCTGAGTCCTTGCCAGAAGCTCTTGCTGGTAGGGGAGGAGTTTGACGCTACCAGGGAAGGAGCCATCGATGTCTGTCTGGTCAGCTAGAGGGAGGCGGGGAGAGAGGAAAGGAAGGAAGGGAAGAAGGGAATGAAGGGAAGGAAGGAAGGAAAAGAACTTAAGCTACAGCGCGTGGTTCTGGGCCTGGGCATGTGCATTTGCAAAGCTCCCAGGTTAGCCCCTGGGCAGCCAGCCCAGGCGGGCAGCCAACCCTACTTCTTGGGTCTCATGTGTGAACTTTGCTCATTAGACCTCTCCATTGTAAGTTCGGGTAAAAGTGCCGTCACTACTTTACAGACAGGAAAGCTGCGATGCAAAAGGAAGTGAAGTCCAGATCTCAGAGTCTGGGTGAACGTGGCGGTCCAGCCCCAAGGACAACCTGATGAGCGCCAGGCCCTGCCCCTAGCAACAGCCTCTCCAGGCCCAGTCCAGCCATGAGGGGGGTGGGGAGGGCCTGTCAGGAGCACCCCTGACACAGCCAGCCTCAGGCCACCAGGAATGTCACTGCCCTGGTGCCCACATGCCTTCTCTTGCCCTCCCTGGCACCCTGCCCTCCCCTCCTAGGATGACCCCTGTGGATGCACTGACCTTAACACTCTCTAGGGGTGTGACCCTGATGCTGTCCCCCCCGCCCCCCCGCCCAATGAGCGCAGGTTCTCCTCTAAGATGAGAGTGTCCCTCCCTGCCCCTCATGGGCTGGGTTTCCGCACTGGGAAATCATGGGGCACATGAAAGGCCTCCTGGTCAACTCCCAGTTGGACCCACAGATCAAATCCAGACAACAGACATGCTTCCTGGCCCACGAAGGTTTGAAAACATTTGAGTCACTTGCTAACATTTTTAAATTGGGATATCCTATCTAATAAAGAGGAAATATGCAAATTGACCATCACTCCAACACACAAGATGGCCACCACAAGATGGCCAGCAGGGGAGGGCAGTTGGAGGCAATCAGGCCAGCAGAGAAGGGCAGTTGGGAGGGACCAGGCCTGAAAGAGAGGGCAGTTGGGGGGAGGGGAAACCAGACCTGCAGGGGAGGGCAGTTGGGGGGGACCAGGCCTGCAGGGGGGTGCAGTTGGGGAGGACCAGGCCTGCAGGGGAGGGCAGTTGGGGGCAACCAGGCCGGCAGGGGAGCAGTTAGGCGTCAATCAGACTGGCAGAGGAGTGGTTAGGGGGTGATCAGGCTGGCAGGCAGAAGTGGTTAGGGGCAATCAGGCAGGCAGGCAGGCGAGCGGTTGGGAGCCAGCAGTCCTGGATTATGAGAGGGACGTCCGACTGCCCGTTTATGTCTGATTCCACTAAACGGGCAGTTGGACATCCCTTGAGGGGTCCCAGATTGGAGAGGGTGCAGGCTGGGCTGAGGGACACACACACACCCCCCCATGCACGAATTTCGTGCACCAGGCCTCTAGTTTTTACATAAAAATTCAGATATCTGGCTTCATTGGAAAAAAATCAGAACAATTGTCACCACGAGCTGGCAGTCTTGTCGGGCAGAGCAGCAGTGGCCTCCCTTAGAGGCGGAGGCTCACGCACTGAACACCCGGCGCCAACAGACCATGCGCTGCACTGCGTGGTCATGACCTGTGGTGGCCGGAGCTGTCCTCTGCTCCTGGATGTCCCCCTCCCCCCGCCCCCTGCTTGCGGGGCCTCGAGGACACCCTGGAGACCTGGTCTTCCCTCCATTGCTGCTCTTCACTTGGCCAGGCCCTTGCTTTGAAGGTCATCTTTCATTAAAAAAGCACAGACTTTAGAGTCCTGTGTTGAAGCTCTAACCCTGTCACTCTCCCACTACGCGCCCGGGGCATGACCCTGAGCCAGGCTGAACCTTGGTCTCCACACCAGCGGTTGTCAGGAGGGATGCACAGGGCTGGCTCACAAGTCACACGCAAGAAACAATCGCTGGATTGTCATTATTTTAACTCTAAGTCTGCCTCTTAAAGGCATTTCCAGTCCTCCCATCAAAAACAACCGAGAGATCAAAACACAACCTCGAGCAGGAAGTTCCCGAAGACCTTGAATGACAGAGGGGACACAGCATGGATTTCTCCCAGCTTTGATTAAAATCTGAATACTTTCTTTACTTTGGTGAAAAATAAATAAATAAATGAAATAAAAATCATTAGAGAATGAAATATGACACCCAGGACTGAAGACGAAGTGGAGAAATGGGAAATGTCAAAACAGCAGCACCAGCGGCGTAAAGAGATCCATCTTCATTCTCCTGCTCCTCTCCGGCTGGCAGTCAGGGGAACTTCTCCGGGCGCCCGCCCGCCTGCCCGCCCGCCCGCCCGCCCGCCTACCTGGGCCCACAGGCCGGCCTGGGTGTAGGGCCGCTCCTCCGTGCCGCCGTCCGCGGTGCTGGGCCTCTGCAGGGCCTCCTCGCACGGCAGGCTGCATGGGCCCTCCGTGTCCACGTCAAACGTCTCATCCGAGCGGAATATGGCCTCGAGAATGTCGTCGTCGGTTGTGAATAAGATTGTGTCTCCAAAGTGCTCTGGCGCTGAAGGGGTTACCAGGAAGACAAGGGTCAACTCTCCCAAATCCCACTGAGCTGTGGGTCAGGGCCCAGACCCATCAGCTCTGCCATAAACCCCGACCACGGACAGTTCTCCATCTGTGCAGGGACGTGGATTCTTCACGTCGGCAAATGGATCCGCGCACCTGAGCCCCACACAGGTCACAGGTCTAACGAAGGGACCTATGCGAGGAGAATCACTGAGATGGGGCCTGAAACATGTGTGGGTGGGCACCAGAGCAGATGCTGTGGGTGCTCACAGATCCCCGCTGACCCCCGGCGGGAGGGCTGGAGCCCTGCTGGAAGGGCATGGGCGTTAGGCCCCTAGCGGGGAGCCTGCAGGGCTCCAACCCCCAGCGCTCTGCCTCAGGCAGGACAGACCTGCAGGCCTCGGTCAGGCTGCGGTGGCTTCCCCTGACACCACGTGCTCAGCTCCCCCTCCATGTCCTGCACCCCCTCCCTGCACAGGGCTCTCCTGAGAGTGCTCCCTCAGTCAGCGCCTCGCAGGAGGGTCCCCGTTTCAGGCCCAGGCCCGTCCCCAGCCAAGGAGTTTAATGAGGTCAGCGCCTGCAAACCCATGCTGCAAAGGCGGCGAGGGGGCCAGGCCTATGAGGGGAGAGACCCATCGCCACTGGCAGCCTGTGGGTTTGGTTTTCCCTCGGAGCCTCAGCGAGCAGCAGGAAGGGCTTCGGGAACATCCTTACAGACATACTGTACCTCCCGTCAGGGTTCCGGAGGCCTTGGCGATTTCTCCGTTAAAGATGCACTGTGCGTCTAACAGGATCTCGACGTCCCTCACGCCGCGGAAGGAATGGATCCGCGACTTGTTGTAATTCCAAATCCTGACCAGGGCGACGTGGCAAGGGTGCGAGAAGTCGATGGAGATGGAGTGGGACTGGCCCGGCGTGAAGGGGGCCAGCCAGACGTGCATGTCGTCCTGGGTCCTGTTCACCCCGTCGACGAGGTTGCCGACCACTCGGGGGTCCTTCCCATAGGCTGGTAGAACGTTGATGTCGGGGGGGTCCGCTTGGATGCTCGCGATTTGCACGGGCTCTCCCTTGGAGCTGAATATTTCTATTCCGTTCAGGCCCACGTAGTGCCTGTCCCCCCACGTGGACTTGATGTCAAGGACCAGGTGCCGCCCATAGGGCAAGATGGGAATTCTAAAGTCGCTGGGGTCGCCTGCGTCTCTGCAGTCATCCGGCCCCACCCGGGGCTCCGGCTGCTTCCTGCCGGGGGCTGGCTGGGCGCCCTGCCGGCCACTCCTCTGCTGCTGCAGGAACTCGTCCAGGATGTCCCCCTGCACCTCCATGTTGGAGATGCGCCCCCGGTGGGAGCGGTCAAAGGCGCTGAGGGAGCTCCAGGACTCCTGCAGTGTGTGCTCCTGCTCGCTGCGCCACTGGGGCCGCGGCGGCGGCCTGGTGCACCAGGCATCCTCTGAAGAAAGGGCACAGGAGGGGGGAAGCCCATTAGTGACAGGTGTGGAAGTGGGACCCTTAGTGTCTCATCCAGTGGCTCTCGGCTGGGTGGAACCGCCCTCAGGGGAACATTCTAGAAAGCGGTGAGGCTGCTGTTGGCTGTCTCAATGCCCACTGACCCTCCTGGCATGGCCGGTGGGCAGGGCTGTTAATACCCGCGCTGCACTGGATGGTCCGGGCACAGAGCACGGTCTCCTGTCACACACATTCAGGCTGGTAGAAAACTGTTTCCGGTTCTCAAGTCTGGAACCTAGCTGTTTTACAAAAAAGCAAAGTATTTTTCAATCTGCACTGAATTTTCTAAGCATGCAACCTCATGCACATCAAGGGAGGCCTGTATGGTTGTGTTGGAGCCTTTGCTGGAAGTTTTCCCACTTCAGAGCCTCACACAACCAGAGCAAAGCCGCTGCCTGTGGCCTCAGAGTCAGCCACCCAGGAGCCTGCGCCTCGGGCTACCAGTCACGTGACCTGCACGGAGTTTTCAAACTGCTTAGTGACAGGCAAAAGGCTCGGAAAAGAAGGTAAAAGGAACAGAGCCAGCTGTGCCATTTTAAATGATGCCCACCCTAGTGTGGGCAGCGTGCGCCGACGTGCGAGTGTGATCTTTCGGGGTGGGAGTAGGAAGGGCTTTTATTTTCTTCCTTGCCACCTTATCTTCTGAGTTCCCTACATGTATTATTTTTATCATCAGAAAAACGCTGAAACAACCCAGGTGCATTGCACGGCGAGGACTTTACTTCCACACACGGCCTAACTGGCTCCAGGAGCCGCAGCCGTGCCCAGGGCTGGCGTCTGAAGGCCCCGCTCCCCTCGCAGACTCTAAGAGCCCGAGTGCACATGGAGCAGGGGCCATCCTCGGGGCCATGCCATGGCTAAGTGCCACCTGAGGGTGTCATTCTGGAAAAAACAGCAGCTGGCACTGGCATTCTGCTTTTTCTCCTTTCATACGGTGCCGTGCCCTGCACTCCATTTTCTGCCTGTCTCCTCGGGGGCCTGGCCCCATCAATTACCACTTCCCTCCAGAATCTTCAATCACTCCTTCCCCACCACTGCCCTCTCAGCCTGCAGACAAGCGTAAACCTCCGCCCTGAAGGCAGAGGGAGGCCTCGGATCTGCAGTGGCTGCGCCCATCCCCACCTCCCATCCCCTGCGGCCTGCTTTCTCTGACCAGTTACTGTTTTGCTGCCTCAAACTCCTCTTCCCCTTCTCTAGGAACAGCACCCTGACTTTCCCCTGGGGATCCCCCACCTGCAGCCATTCGGATCAAGCAAATGTGGACAGGATCCTTGCAAGCTGGGCTCATGAAAGGAACCCAGGGAGAGAGGGGCTCTCCGTGAACTGGAGCTGCTGAGCATGGACGGAGCGGCGCTGCCTGTGGCCACCTTGCTGCCTGTGGGGGCCGGCCTGAGAAGGAAGCAGGGCAGGAGCAGGGCGATGCGAGGCTCCTGGTGGCATCACTGGGGCCCTGGGGCCCAGCTGTGTCAGGTCGCATGCCTGGTGGCTTTCCATCCCTCCATCCATGAATCCCACAGCCCTCCACTGCAGCGGTGCCCTCGGGTTCACAGGGACCCCAGGCACGCAGTCTTCTCTCAGTGCTCGCTCCAGGTGGCTGTCCAAGGACACACTCCCCTCGGGCCCAGGAGGCACTGTGCTGCCAGGTTCTCCATGTCCTGCCCGCAGCACCTCCCACCTCCCCACTCCCCATGTCAGGCTTTGGCTCCCACACAGGCACTGCCCAGTGTCACAATGGCACCCCCCCCCCCTGCCCTAGGCACCACCATCCAAGGCCCCTCACGGGGTCCAGACATGTCCACACTGTCACTTCAGACTCCATGTTGCTAAATGTCATTTGTCACTATTCCCTGAGTGCCATTATCTCTGCCACGCTGGGAACAAGGAAAATCAAAGAAAATCCAACTCCTCACCACGCCCCAGAGCCCCGAGTTGGCCCCACTAACTTCCCCAACCGCTCTCCCACCCTCTCCCACGCTCTCCTGCTCCAGCCACGTGGCCCTCCTCCCTGTGACACACCAGGTCACGTCTAGTCTCAGAGCCTTTGTCCTTGCTATGCCCTCTGCCAGGAATGCTTTCTTCTCAGATCCCCAGACAGCTGGCTCCTCTCATCACCTTCCTCGTGGAGAGGCCTGCTCTGCCCTGCTACCTGCTGCGTCCCAGTGCCTGGCACAGAACCTGGCACGAGGAAGTGCTCAGTAATGTTTGCCAGCAAAGGGAAGGACAGCTGGCATCACCATTACACCCGTGTTCAGACCTGGAGGCTGAGGGACTCCCTCTCCACCTGTCAGTTCTCCTGCACCTGTCCTCGCCCGCCTTCCCATCTGCCATTAAAAAAGACCCAGGAGTTTCCTCCACCCTTTCCCAGGCGTGAGGCTTAGCACCTGCAGAAGGGACTCCCATATGGATCATCAGTGCTCCGCTAACTGTGATTTGATTTCCACGGGCTGGAATGAATGGCCTAGGGCAGTCTGCAAGGGCACTGAGGAGACAGCACCACATCCTGTGTCAGGGCCTCGCCTGTGTGTCTGCCTGGGTGAGAAGGAAGGCAGGGCTCTGCTCTCACCCCACATCTGCTTTCTGACCTCTGCTCCCCAAGAGGTACCCCTGGGTTTTAAAAGCAGAGAGGTATAGACGCTCTGCTAGACCTCGCAGATGGGTCTACCACTGAGGGCCGGTTCCCCTCTCTGCAGGAGAACACTCTACTCGCGAGTCCCTGGGGTCAGGGTGCTGCTAGGGTCAGTGTGTGGTCCTTGGTCAACCCCACCTGCAAGTCTGAAGGGCAACAGAAAGCTGCTGCTTCGTGAGTCTGTAGTCAACACAGTCGGGGAGGGACCACCAATATGAGAAGACGGGACTGAAGATGCAAAACTATTCCTTGGTTGAGACTAACATGAGCTACAGAGTTCTGCACTTGAGTTTATAAAAATCAATGGCACCACCATGAGGCGTATGCTAATTGCTACTAAAACAGGAAATGAGAAAGTACGTAGTGAGATATAACAGAGCCATGTTTATTCTCGGTGAACTGCCCTCCAGTTGTAGCTGATGGAACAAGGAGTGGACACCTGACCCGAGTCAGCCAATCAACTTCTCCCCTGAGACTATGGAGCTGGCTGCTGGCGAGAGAGCCAGAACACTGAGTCACCTAGGGCTGTCAGGCCATTTCCTGCTGTGTGCACAAAGGCAGAGAAAGCCGACCCTGAGGGAGGGGGAGGGAAAGGGCCAGCGGAAAGCAGAGGCAGGGCCTGGACAGACAAGGAGAAGCTTCCTTGGTGCTGGCCAGCGTCCTGGCTCCTCTTCCCAATCCCATGCAGTGAGTAGCTACACTCCCTGCCTCTGGGGGTCTAGGAGCGCCTCAAGCATTCGCCAAATAACACCCCCTTTACTGCTCAAACTGGGCTGATGGAATTCCATTCACCTGTAGCCAACTGACCCCTGATAAGGACACTTCCGAAAGGCTGATGTCATGACAGTGAGATGCTCTGTTGCACAAAAGAATCTCCAGGCTGTTTATGGAGCCAATTCCAGGCCCAGGGTGGAGTCTGGCAGTCATGCGGCACTGGCCCTGCACCTTCCCTGAGGGCATGGCATGGCTTTGGCTCTATGTAATGGGCAATTTAAGATTTCAAAGCGACTTTCCTTTTTAGCACGACTGGTTTAACAAGCATTAAATCTGAAGGGCTCAGTTCTTAATGTGTCACTGAGCCAACCAGGGAAATGCCTGGAAAGAAATTAAAGGGAGACAAAGTCTTCCAAACGTGGACACGTTAGAGTAACTCCCAGAGGCTCTGTGTGTCTGTTTACCAGGGAGGCTCGGAACTGCCTGGCTCCGCCAGGCGGGGGCTGATGATGGCCGCGGAAACAGGGCACGTGGGGTAGTGATTCAAGCACGGATGCTGGAGCGGGACACGGGTTCATATTCTGCTCTGCCCTTTCTGGCTGTGTGACCCGAAGAAAGCTGCTTAAAGCTCGTATCTCCTTTAGCTGTAAAAGGGGCTGGCAGGAGGGTGCATGGGCTGGTCCAAGTGCCGCGCCAGCCTGAGAGCGTGGCGCACTGCAGCCTGTGCGTAGCCACGCAGCCATCCCACACGCGGAGGACCCACCACGAGCAGACACCTGGGCCTGAGATCCCATCACAGACAAGACAGTGTCTGCTCTCAAAGAGCTCCCTGGCTCTCCTCTCCTCTCCCACTCCGCTGGCCCCGACACCCAGCACTGGGTAAGTCTCGGCTGGGAGCCCCGCAAGAAGACACGCAAGTCTTACGGACTTGCTCCGTGTCCTAAGCGACATGTCAGGGTCTGAAGGAGGCCCACACTCATCACATTTCTAAGTGGAGGCCTTCGGGCTCTGTCTGCTAGCCAACGATGGCAGAGAGGCTGACGCGACTCTCTCAAACATACATACAGGTGACCTTGAACACCACTTTGCACCGCGCGGGTCCCCTTATGTGTGATTTTTTTCAGTAAATACGTACAGCACTTATTTCAGTAAATGTATTTTCTCTTCCTTATAATTTTCTTAATAACAGTTTCTTTTCTCTGGCTTACTTCATTGTCAGAATATCTACATAATACATCTAACATAAAAATATGGGTTCATCGCCTGCTTGTTATTGAGAAGGCTTCCAGTTAACAGTAGCTGACAGTAGTTACGTTTTGGGGGACTCAAAAGTTATATGTGGGTTTTCGACTGCACAAGGGGTCAGCACCCCGAACCCCCGAGTGGTTCAAGGGGCAACTGTATATTGGTTTCACCTGCAGATACACCATGAGGTAGAGTCACAGAGTGCGGGCAGTGCCAGCGCCTCGATGGTGGTGACGATAAAGAGCAGCAGCTAGCATCTCCTGGTGCGCTTGTGTGCCAGGCACTGTGCCAGGCACTGCACATGGGTGATCTCATCTGATCCCCAGCACCCATGAGATGGGTATTACTGGCAGCATTTTACAGATGAGGAAACTGAGGCTCAGAGAGGCTCCAGGCTTACCCACGATGTGGGTTGGTGTGCTCCCATACAATGTGGAGTGGGGTTACATTCAGAGGACTAGGGGTGAGCCCTGCCTTGGTAGGTCCGAGTGTTTTGTGGACAATAAAGGACTGACAAGCTAATGTTGAAAAAAATGGCCACCACCCATGGAGCACTTGCCATGGGCCAGGCTCTGTTACTATTGTGAAGCCATCGTCTTACTCCTCACAGCACTGGGAGGGGTGCTCATCCCCATTTTCTAGACAAAGCTGCTGAGGATCAGCGTGTGCAAGGGCCTGCTCTGTAAGTCCCAAATCTACATGTAGCAGAGTTTGAGTTCAAATGTTTTGACATCTTGTTGCTATGCTACACTCCCAATAGCCAAATCTGAGTGGAAATATTCAGAAGTCCAGACTCTGGACCCTCCTTTCACAGCCTTAGAGATGATCTACTGCAAAGTTCACAGAGCAGCAGATAAGTCACCAATGGTGAAAATTAGAATAGTCTGATATATTTCTGATTTCTCTTAATAAAAGGAAAAGAGATCTGACACATTGGCCTTGCAGTCCTGAAAGCCAGAAAGAGCCTGAGTGAAGCAGCAGCTGCCCCCTTTAGTTGGGCTTGTGCACTCCAGTTAGCCACAGTCCTCACCACTCCCTAATGCCTTCCAAAATCCAGGCAAGTGTCAATTGCTATTTATCATCATACTTGCATTATTTTCCTAACAGTAAAGGATAAAGTGAGGTAATTAGAGACCAATGTCTATCAGAGGTAGAATAACCAGGTCTAGGTTGGAAAAGTCATGTATTGAAAGAAAAATGAGCAAAGGGACGTATCTTGGTGGCAATGACAAATATATCTACGAGTTTAACAGGCAAAGTATGTCTTGCCCATTTCACTCATTGCTGCCTCCCGTGTGGCTCCTGGTTAAGGAGAACCCCTCGCTTTGCAGATAAGGAAACTGAGGCTTGGGGAGTTGAGTGGCTGGTGCCAGTCAGCAGCCTCCTGCAGGGATGATGAGCCCCAGTCAGACTGCCCCCCGAGCTTACCTCTGCTGGCTGGTTGCCCATCACCGTGACTGCTGCTGAGGGCATCCTTCCGGGCCCTCCTCCCACTAGCGGGGCGCTCCCTGTTGGAGGGCTGCTCAAAGATGTCAAAGTCATCCCTGCAGACGTTGGGGGTCACCCTCGGGGCTCTGTCCTCTGAGATGGCATTCCGGCTGCTGGCCCGCCCTGGCTCGCGCCTGGGACCTTCATCTCCGGCCTCCGCAGGACCCTCGCTGAAGACGTCCTCGTCCTCCGGCACAAGCCCGTCCGTCCCATCGGGTGGCTTCTCAGGACACAGCCAGAGGGGTTTGGGCTTCCCGCCTCCCTGCCTCCTGCCTTTCCCTGTGCAAGAGGGCTGTAGCCAGGCGGGGGTTTTCCCTGGTGCAGAGACCTTCCTGCCTGGGAGGTTTTCCAGCTGCAGAGTCTGGGAGAGCTCCTGGCCCAGCGGAGGGCACTCCACTGGGGGCCTGGGGACAGGGGCACGCTCACCCCCCATGGAGGTTGGGGCTGCTGACGAGCTGACATCGTCCTCTAACTTGGACAATCTGTCTTTTATGCAACCAGGAGAATTCATCCTTTCACCAAATAAAGTTCCTGGTGAAGTAACCGCCACATCCCCTGCCACTCCGGCTGGCTGTGAGCCAGTGACGCTGAGCTCCTCGTCCCCAGCGGCGCCCGCCATCCTCTGGGCACCTCTGCCTTCTTCCGAGGGGGCATTAGAGCTGCTCTCCACCCCCTCAATCTGCTCATTTCTCAGGCCTACTGGGATGCTCTGGTTGGCCGGGGCCTCCCCCCCTCCTTTGTCTAACTGGCCATCAAAGATGAGGCTTTTGTTGACATAAAGCTTCACGTTCTTTGCACCAACGTCAAGATCCTGGAAACACAAAATTTAACAAAACAGAGATGCGTGGTGTCAGACTGATGTCTCAAATTTTAAAGCAGAAGATGAAGAGAAATTGAATGCTGGAAACACGGGCTTTGTGAAACCACAGCACTGGGATGTTAAACAAGGCTCAGTCCCCTTCCTGCGTGAAGCTTACACTATAAATCAAAGGACCTTCACAAAGAGGTGCTTGATGGGCTCTGTCATCGTACCTCCCGCTGGGACATCTGTAACTGCCTGCTAATTAGTCTCCCTGCTTCCTGTCCTGCTGCTCCAACCTCCACCTCCTGTTGCCAGGGAGGTAGTTTCCTGCCAGAGCAGATCTGGCTGTCACCTGCCTGGTGAAACCCTCGGTCTTCACTGCCGAAGGCGGCTTCGCTCCAGTACGTCCTGGGCCTCCCCGCAGGAAAGCCTGCCGCGCACAGCCAAGGCACACCTGGCTCAGTGGGGTGCTGAGAGCAGTGCCGAGATAAGGACTCCAGTGCGGGCTGCTTACTTGGTAAGGCGCTCCCAAGAGTCAGGGCCCGAGAAAACCCCCAAAAGGCACTTGAGCTGGTCACTGCTGTGGGCGATTGGGCTCTATTCCACTGGGGACCTCCAAGGAACCCACAGAAGGCACCTGTGTCCCTCCAAAGGCGGAGGCTGGGCGGTTATCTAATGACTCCCTTCCCTGCTGCTGGAGGTTGCCTTGGGCACTGTGGCTTGGGAAGTCCCTCCCCTCCTCCCCCTGCAGAAAGGCAGAGCCTGGAAGCACCGAGGCTGTGCCTGTCAGCCTGCCCGGCTGTCCCACCTGGGCTGCCCCCCCTGGGCTGCCCCACCTTAACTGTCCCACCTGGACTGCCCCACCTGGGCTGCCCCACCTGAACTGCTCTACCTGGACTGCCCCCCCCCCCCCCCCGGGTTGTCCCACCTGAACTGCTCCACCTGGGCTGTCCCACCTGGGCTGCTCCACCTGGGCTGTCTCCCCTGGGCTGTCCCGCCTGGGCTGTCTCCCCTGGGCTGTCCCACCTGGGCTGTCCCACCTGGGCTGCCCCACCTGGGCTGTCTCCCCTGGGCTGTCCCGCCTGGGCTGTCTCCCCTGGGCTGTCCTACCTGGGCTGCCCCACCTGAGCTGTCCACCTGGGCTACTCCACCTGAGCTGCTCCACCTGGGCTGTCCCACCTGAGCTGTGCTGGAGGAGAGTCCAGGGGATGTGGTGTGGGCGCTGCATGTGTAATAGGTTCTTCTGATGATTCCTTTGCACAGGAATGTGGAGACCCTCAGGCCAGTGGTATGAACTCTAAACCCCATCAGCATATGACAGAGGGGTCCCTGGCTAGGCTTCCTGTCTCCTTCTTCTCCCCAGCACTTCTTTGTTCATGCTGAGAATGAAACCACACCTCCGCCTGCTACTGCCCTGCCATCTGTCCATTCCCCTTCTCATCAAAACATTTCTGAAAAACTGCTTGACTGAGGAATATAACACATACCTCACACAGAAAACAGTACCTTTTTAAAGTGTACAACTTGATAAGTTTTTAACACATGCATATACCCATAAATCATCTTTCCAATCAAAATAATGAGCACATTACCCCCAAAGTTTCCTTGTACCCTGGGTAACCCCCCAACCCCTCCCCAGCCAACCACCGTCAGCTTTCTGATATATCAGTTTGCATTTCCTTTTTAAATAAAAGGAATCACACACTATGTACTCTTCTTGGCCTAGCTTCTTTCTTTCAGCATAATTATTTGAAGATTCATCTTTGTTGTATGAATTAATAGCTTTATTCCTTTTTCTTGCTGAGGTACTCCATTGTCGAGGTGCCCCACCATTTTTTTGCCTTTACAGCACACCCTTTGAGTCACAGCCTCGGCCCCACTGCAGTCGGGTCTTTGCCTCCATCTCTGCATGAACCCACCTTGCCAAGGGCATCAGTACCTGGGTGGAAACTTCCTGTGTGTCTGGGACGGTTCGGATTTACTCCGCTGTCCTGGCCCAATCATTCACAGAACCCTCTTTTCACTCAGAGTGTCCTGTTTTGGGTGGTCAGTTTTAGGGCCAGCAGGTGCCAGATCCACCGGGAGCTCTCAGGCTCAGGCCGAGAGCTGTCAGCAGCACCTGTGCCGTCGCCGCTACTCCAACTGAGCGGTCTCCTTCCCCAGCTTGCAGGTCAACCCGGCTGGGGTTCCTCCCCCCTCAGCCTCCCTGCCCGGGCTCCCCTGCTCCCCCTTAGCCTCCCTGCCCGGGCTCCCCTGCTCCCCCCTCAGCCTCCCTGCCCGGGCTCCCCTGCTCCCACCTCAGCCTCCCTGCCCGGGCTCCCCTGCTCCCCCCTCAGCCTCCCTGCCCGGGCTCCCCTGCTCCCCCTCAGCCTCCCTGCCCGGGCTCCCCTGCTCTCCCCTCCCCGCCTCCTTCAGCCTCCCTGCCTGGGCTCCCCTTAGCTGGGCCTCCAGTGGCTGGTGGGTCCTGGGTCTCAGATTCCTGCTCTCTCACTAGGTGGTCTCATCCAGACCCAAGGCCTTAAATACCATCTTTGTGTTGATGACTCGTGATCATTTTCATCTCCAGCCCTGACTCTCCACCAAGCCCCTAGTGACCATGTGACCTCTCTTCTAGGATATCTAACAGGTGTCTCAACCTTAACACGACACCTCACACAGAATCCTTACCTCGCTTTCCCAAGCCTAGTCTTCTCCCATCTTAAAAATGGTGGCCCCATTCAGTCAGTTGCCCACAGCCCAGGAGTCCCCTCTGACCCCTCCTGCTCGCTCACTCACACGGCCAGGGCCCAGGGGCCCATGGGTCTAACCTCCACACCCCTCCAAACCTGGCCTCTGCTCCCTGAGTGTGCTGCCTCCCCGCCAGGCCACCATCTCTCCAAGAGGTTCTACCGTAACCTGCCAGCGGGCCCCCCTGCTTCCACTCCGCTCCATCACCGCGAACCCACCCCAGGCACACGCTTCCTTCTCTACACAGCAGCCGGTCTTTCTTTTTAAAACAACTGATCAGGTCATGGCGCTCCCTGCTTAAAGTCCCTAATGATTTCATTTCATAAGCTCCACCCGCTTCAGTGGCCAGTAAGGCCTTCCGGTCTGGCCCCTGCTGGCCCCTCTGACCCGACCCCTGTCACTCTCCCTCCACTCCCAACACACTGATCTGGTTGCTGCTCCCTGGTCCAGCCAACTCATTCCCACCCCAGGAAGGAGCACGTGCCCGGAATGCTCGTCCCAGAGCCCTGCAAAGCTGGCTCCCTGTCCTCAGAGCCCTTCCCTCCCCTCCGGCCCTCCCTATCTCAGCACCCTGCTCTATTTCCTTCCGGTCTCTGAAACGGTCTTATTGCCTTATTACGTTATTTATTGTCTCCTCTGCTCAAAGTTAACCTCCAAGACACCAGGGGCCCCTGTGCCATCTTGTCCAAGGCCCAGCAGGCACCCGACACACAGTAGGTTCTCAACAAGGACAGAGAACAAACACAGAGAGGCAGCATGCTCTCTAACAATGTCCTGAAAACAGCCTGCAGAGACGTGGTCCCCGCTGGCGTCACTCCCGGCCACTCTCCACCTGCTCTTGGGAGATGGGAGCTGAGAGCCAACAGGTGCCCATCTACAGCACCCAGCCGCCCTGAGGGGAGGTGGGCAAGCTCTCACACCGGGCAGCGCCGTGGAGGCTTCAGGGCGAGGTGGAGTGAGACCCATCCAGCCTGTGCCGCACCGGCCTGGCTTCGAACCCCTGCTGCAGGACGGCAGCTGCTATTTGCCGACTGTCGAAAGTCGCGATTCTCAGAGCACCGCTTCCGCCTTATGTGGATGTGCTCTCTGCCTACAGAGGCGCAGAGCAGGCGCGTGACGGGAATTAATCAGGGAACAGCTATCGGAGAAGGACAGCATGGGCGGCTCTCAATGACTAGTTCCGCAAAATTACCGCATGGAAACATCTGGCAGGACAGAAACACTCGTTTAGAAAGGAGCTGGGTGGAGGGAGGCCTTCCATCCAGCACAGGCATGAGGTGGGCAGCCTGGCTTTCATAACGGAGTCTGGCTTCCAAATGGGCTTGTGTCCGTTCCTGAACCATCTGGAGCACCATCTGACCTCCAGTGCCTGCTGCTTGGCTCCCGCCAGAAGTGTGGCGGAGAAGGGACTGGGAGGGAAGCAGGCCTGGGCAGGGGTGCAACCTCCCATGCCCACAGGGCCAGGCAGGGAGGCGGGAGGTGAGCTAGGGAGGAACCAGAGGAAGTGTGTGCCGTGGGAAGCTGGGAGGCGTGTGTCCGGCCTGATGCTGCTCATCTCCGCAGTTTCCAACGCCCTGCAGGCCTAACGAGCCATAGCGGAGGGTGGGTTTGGCCTGAGTGGGATCCTAGGAGGGGAACAGGTAGTGGTCACTTCCCTGGTGCCGCCACGTGGAAAAACGAAAAGGCCGTCCTGTCCCACAGTCCTCAGAGCCACTGCACACGGGGGCATAGGCCCGTCTTCCAGAGGGAGACTCTGAGGCTCGCCCGCCCTGAGGCCACACCGCCCGCCCTGAGGCCACTCTGGCTGGCACACCCGAGGTCTCGAGGTCTCGCTGCTGCCTCCCTGAGGTCATGCTGGGCCTGGAGGGGCCTCAGGCTGCCCACCGGCAGGATCACCTGCACCCAGGGGGACTCAGCCCCACTTATCCTTTTAATCATTCCCCGGGGACCAGCTCTCAGACCCACACACTGGCTCCCTCCTCAGGCCATGAGGCCATCGCTGTGGGCACGGGGTGGGAGTGTACATGCTGTGTCTTTCCAGGCCGTCCCTCCATCTTCATGTATGTGCTGACGGAACTGTCATCTCACCCCCCAGGCGGGGCTAGAAGCATGGACAGGTGCGTGCATGCACCATGGAGAGCCAGGGCGGAGGACGTGGCAGGTCCACACCCGCGGCCCCGCAGTAAAGCTCTGTACTGGCGATGTCTTTGGAAATGGAGGAGGGGGAATTCTCTTGCTCCTAAAGAACTAGCCTGCTTCCTGCTTTCCAGTAACCAGGACTC